TCTCTCTCTCTCTCTCGTCACCTGGAACAACCTCAGTTTCCAGCCTGTTGGGGCCGGTTTTCGTACCCTATGAATCGAACAAAAACGACTTTTGGTCGTGTCTCATTAGGGAGGCCTTCTTGACCTGATCGACTTGTGCTTGCACTCTGTGGTCAGGACCGCCCTGAGCAGATAATAGTCGAGGCGGCAAAAAGTTTTGTAAGCACAGACCCCCCCTCACTGTCAGCAAAGTGGTCGACTTGAGTTTTTGTTTTGTTTTTTTGTAAACTTCAACACACTTAAATACAAATGATGTGTTGATGAATTAGGATTCAAAACGATCCAGGTGAATATGGACATCCCTGGTCAATGTACATTTGCACCTTTGCTGTTTTTATGTTTAAACATATTTCATGATGTAACCAACACTGTGTGTAAATGTTACCAGCAAAGTGTTGATATTCATTGTGATCATGACTTGTTGTTGTCATTGCGGTATTCTCTTCAAGGATTTTAGATGAATCATCTAAAGTGGCCACCAGCAGTAAAACCTGAGTAGTGACAGTGACATCTAGTGGTGCTTTCCTGTTGTTGTTTTCCTGTCCCAAAGTGTTCACTATCTGGCTGACTAAACTGTAGAATGAGCCCTTCAGTGGAGGTCAGAGTGTGAGGAACATGCAGGCAGACTAGCACAAGAGAAAACTGGACCCACATTGGACCTAAATCTGGCTTCCTATTCACTCAGCCATTTTTTTAAACGAATTTCATTTATGTTCCATGATGGTCTGGATGCCATTCAAAACACAAAAACCTTCCATATGGTGAGTGGTCAACATCAGCCTTCCCTCCATAACTTCAGAAACAACATGAGGAACAACATTCATGATTTCTCTACACCATGTTTCATAATGGCAGTAAAAGCCATGGAAATAATCAATAAAAGGCATGTCTGAATGGCAATATTGTATCTAAGAATGTACATATGTATAAAGAAATGTATAAAAGATGTTGACAAAGATGTGAAAGAGATCCTGAAATGTCTAATTATCATGTAAATTCAAGTATATGAAGAATTGCTGCTAAGGTCTGTAAATTGCACTTCAGTAATGATTAAAAAATTGAATGTTTGTACTGTATATGTGATTAAAACCACAAAATCTTGTAATTTTACCTCGTCTGGATTTTTTTTTTTGATCATCTAGATTTTAATAATCTAATTACGAGTACAAAAAAAAGAATATATAATTAGCACTGAAATTAGGCCATTTGTACTTTGTCAGCTTCAGGATCACCTGTCTAGCCAGCGCTGGCCCCCAGGAGCTTCCAGACAAATATTAAAGAGGCCCTTCCCCGCCCCGCCCCCCCTCAAGAGAAATCCATGGGGAAATGGTTATCTCTATTTGGCACGGTGGCAGGTGTCACACAGACCAGCCACCAAATTAGCCTGGAGGAAGAATGAAGCGAGGGAGAGGAGAGGAGGAGGGGGGTGAGGTGTGCCTCCTCAGCAGCATCCACCCTTCCCCCTCAGGCCATGGACTCGACTGTGTGCTCTACAATAAACATCATAATTGACAATTTGCTCCAGTGGCTGGTCACGGCCAGCCAGCTGTAATCTAATGGGAGCGGACAGAGAGAGCTCCACAGAATATTCTCCCCCAGTGTCATGCTGTCTCTCAATGAAATCTGAAAGGCATAGCACAGACTGTAATTGAGACACTATTTCAACATGTATGCTCAGCCAACAGTATGTAGACAGGGATGATCGTGTCTTTTGGAATAGACATTTTCAAAGTTATCTAAAAAAGTTCCATAGGTAGAAAGAAATCAGATTTGCTATAGTAGGCCTGACACACATATTTATTTACTTAAATGTATCTATAAGTATAATCCTTCTACTTTATTTATAGGCTACTTTAATTTCACTGCATTCTTTGACTACATGTCTCGCTCCATATTTTACATTACAACAGGAAAACGTTCTGGCTGGTGAGTTTCTTTTACAGTTCTATTCAATTGAAATTTGACTACTAAACCTCTGACATGGAGATAAATGTCAAACCAGCAATAGCCCCCCCACATGGGGTCAGCAGAAACTGGTGGTAAAAACAACATTGACAACATAAAGTCACCTTTTAAGTTGATTGGGCTAGCAAAGTTAGCCGTTAAGGAACAACATTATTATTCATTTAGTTCTAGTTTGTGTCCATTTGATGGATCTAAGTCCAATATGTCCTGTCTTTCAGTGATGGTGATGACGCTTTACTAAATTCCTGTATGTAAACTCTACAGTGGGTTTTTAGAGCAGCTGCAGCTGAGAGTACTGAAACACTTGAGCATGACAGACACACAATGAGCCCACAATCACTAAGAGCTGCACATTCAAGGTAATAATTCTCTTTGCTGCTCACTACCAGTACTTTGCCATTGGGTCATTTTTCTTGAAGAACCAGTACTTGTTATATCTTAAGTACACTGAAGTGTTAATGCATGAACATTCATTCAAGTAATGTTTTCAATACAGTACTTTTTACTTTAGAGCATAATATATCATTTTAACTTTTAACCACGTAAAAGTGGAAAAGGGTCAGAATAAGCTACTTCTTCCATCACTGCAAAAACCTCCTGGAAGTGTTCAAAACATTTAGTTTAACATTTACCTAATACATCCTGTTTTCCTGAAGATTTCAACATGCTATAATTTCTTGTTTCTTTGCATATATTCATCATACTATATCATGTTGGTTTTTTTGCATGTCTCTAATATATCATACTATGTAATTTCTTCCGAAATGTTTGACATGCCATGTCATTTTTACAATATTTGTAACATACCATAAAATGTCCATTTAAAAAAAAAATGTCAACATAAAATATTATATAGTTTTTTTCCATATTTTTAAATAGCTTTACTATGAAAATGTCGAAATACTATACTGTGGAGTTCTTTCCGCTATACTATGAAGAAATGACATTATAGTCAAGATTTTCAGAAAAAAACTACATAGTATAAATGTCGAAAATATGCAAAAAAAACGACGTGTAAGGTTTGATAGAATTTCAGATATAACGACATGGCATAGACTAGAGCAGGCATCCTCAAACTACGGACTCCGGTCCGGATCCGGACCGAACCACCACTGTCTCCGGACTCTGAGCAAATTATACTTTTCATATGTATTATCTCTCTGTATTATATGTGAGACATCGCCACATCGCATTCGCAACGAGTCAAAAATTATCCGCTATGTCCACTGCAAACAGCGCTCTGCATGTCTGACTGTTCCACTGTGTTCCACCTGTGTGTGTCAACGCTTTGGTCCAATCACATTCAGCATCCAGTCAGCGTTTTTTCCCCCTAAACAATCTGCGAATCAGAGGCACAGTAGGGCGGGTCTTCGCGGACTGCGGGTGGGAAAAATGTGTGTGTCTCTTTCAACCTGTCTAAGTCAGAGCGAGAATTAAAAAAAAAAATTTCAGAGCGAGAGTTAACAGCTCATCTAGTTCCATCTGTACTGTAGCTAGTAGCCTAGTTTCACCTACCGGGGTGGCAACTGACACCCTACAAATAGGCCTTGCCACCCCAGCTGCCACCCCAGTTGGCAGCTTTGTTTTGAAAGAAAAGTTGTGGCTCATCGGACATTTATGAGAGAAAGTCTCTAATGTCCGAGTGCAAGTGAATGCAGCACAAGATGCACGTCATGTAACCCCTCCCCCGGTCCTGGCGCGAGCGTGGACATATGATTGGCGGCGATTTCATTTTGAACTGGACGGCGCAAAACGAGAAGCATTCGGACCCAAGTACTGAAGGAATGAGGTATTTGCGGTCAACACTGACAGAGAAGAGACTGTCAGTTTGGCTGTACTCAGCATTGAATCAAAACGCACTAAAGCTGTTGATCTTAATACGTTTGTGAGGCGTTTTGCTGAACAAAATGGTAATCGCCGCATTCAGCTGTAATAGACATGTCAACTTGATGCTCTGCTCACGGATGAGCATACACAACTATTAAGATGATGACCTTACGTGTGTAAATATATTTTTTTCTTTGAGGGGGTCTGCCCCCAAAAAACAGTTTTAAGTCCTGAGAAAGTCAAATCAGACGGTGTGTAAAACTACACTGCCCAGCCAAAAAAAAGTAACCACTTTGATTGAACTAGGCCAGTAGGTAAGGACTTTCCACTGGATAATAACTGCAGTATAAAATAATGCATGACTGAAGTGATGGAGACCATGTTGAAGGCAAACAAAAAGAGGAAATAACAGGTCAAATCAAGCAAATCCCCTCTCAGATTCCACAGCAACCAGAAGAACATACATACTGGCTGGTGATTTGATTCATCAGCTTTGTGATGGAATAAAAAATGCACAGTGCATTTCCTTAGCTGTGGGTGAGTCCACTGACACCACTGACAATGCTCAGTTGCTGGTGTTTGTGAGTTTTTATGATGAGGCAAAGGGGGAGTTTGTTGAAGATGTGTTGGGCCTGACGCACCTCAGTGGACGCACAAGGGGGAATACATTTATAAAGCAATAATGGGAATGCTGAATGAAAGAGGGTGCAGCTGCCTTTATTCCTAACTGTGCAGCTCTTACACTGCGACTCTGAGGGGTCAAGCACAGACACAATAACAATGAAAACTGCTGCATACAGATTATTTTTGTTTTTGAAACCTCGTGTTAAGATTCTTGTTGCAATTGTTTAAAAGTTTGAATGACCGTAATAAACGGACCTTTGTCTTATTGAAACATTTATTTTGGACCTTTAAGATTTGTATTTGAGTACCCCTGGACTAGAGTGTCAAATTATGCAAAAAAACTACATAGCATAGTTTGTCGAAAATATGCAACAGAAAACAGTAAGGTTTGTCCACATTTTCATGGAAAATAATATAGTTTTATGTTGAAAATATGGAAACATTTTCAGAAAAGACTCATCCCCTCTTCACTTTTTAGATAAGGGTCTCCCCTTTTTATAAAAAGTGTCCCACTTTATGTCCGTAACCCATTTTTTTAGATAAGGGTCCCCCTTATGCCCGTTACCAACTTTCAGATGGGTTCCCCCCATGTATAACAAAATGTCGACATATTATACGATCACTTTTTTTCAACATGCTATATTATGACTTTTCTGTCATTTTTAACGACATACTCTACCACGCCTGGTTTCTACACACTATACCTTTGCCGACTATTCCGTTTTTTTTGTTGTTGCATATTTACGTACTACTACACTACACTATGTTGTGTTTCCAAAATGTTTGCTTTAGTATCATTGGACCCCTGGTGTAGACAAAACGGCCGTGTAGAAGCTGAGCTGCCTTGGCTTGAATGCAGAACAGCAGTTATTCAACAGTGACCAAACAAACCAACCACTCTCTACAAGCCTCAGAAGAGGGGGACCCAAGTTCCCATCGGCGAAAACACGTGGGTTTGCTGTCCTGGCTCCAAGATGGTGGAATGAGCTCCCCATTGACATCAGGACAGCAGAAAGCTTACACACCTTCCGGCGCAAACTGAAAACTCATCTCTTTCGACTCCACTTCGAGCGATAGAACTATTAACGAAGCACTTTTATACTAATAAAGGGCTGGCTTATCTAAAGCCAGTTGAGTAGCACTTGAAATGTTTGGCTCTATGAAACCTGATGTACTTATATGATTCTGTTTTCTTCAAGGTTGTGTCTTCCTGGTCGAATGTACTTATTGTAAGTCGCTTTGGATAAAAGCGTGAGCTAAATGCAATGTAATGTAAAAGTTACCTAAAGAAAAAAACAAGTTAGATAAGAAAGCTGTATACACAACTAAAAATATTAAGTGTCATATGTATATCTCTTATGGTTCCCGTTTCTTTAATACCAGACATTATTCCAAGCTAGCAGATTTACAGCCATATGAATGAAGTGCAATCCTCAAACTGATATATATGTTATCGAATTATATAAAAGGGGGAACAGTGTTAAAAAAGTGACACGAGAGACTGGGAAGGTAAATCACACATTTTATTGGAAAATGCCCATCACAATAAAGTATGCAAAGTAGATCACATAATGAAGTATGAAATGAATATGATTTGCTACAATGAGGCAAAGCCCATCCACTTTTTTACCTTCTTCCATTCTGTAATACAATAATTTAATGTATCAATCCAAAATCATATTTCCTCCAAGCTGGTATTAATATATCGGGTCTTGCCTGTCTTCCAGCAAATTAAAATGACATTGATATCAATGGGCCCGAGATTGAGTTTCCTGAATGAAACAGAAATGAAAATCCTATCTGCACACTGCAGTGGATTACAACTAGTTATATAACAAGCATTTGGAAAAGCTTGATGCTCAGGAGGATAAGGCATCAAAGCAATGTTAAGGTATTTCAATACGATTTTTACATTTTTAGGTCTGTGCTACTTCAAAATCCATGCTGACTCTATTGTTGATTGAAACAGTGTAACGTCTGGAGCCATCTTTGGGAGTTCTGCATACGTATGTACATCTACAGCAGTCACACATGTACAGAGAAACCATTTGATGGGGTCTACAGCACGGAAATAAGTTAAACATCTAACGATCAAAAACTAGAGCATGACTTCCTGTTTAGGGATATTGCACATGTAACAAAGGGTTTCCTTATCGTTCTCAAAGTGAGATTCAGAGCTTGTTTAAGTCAGACGTATTGATTTACAAGACAGAGGAGCTCTACTCTGAGCACCAGAAACATAAAGGAGCTGGGTTATTGCTTCTGAATTTGGATAAAGAGTCTTAGAGACTTAACGGAAGACTTCACACAAGTGTAAACACTATAGCTTCCTATTGACAGGCTGTTTCTAGAGCACACTAATAAACCGTAACAAGTTCACTTTGGGGAGGCGGCAACACGTTTCTCACCAACACTAGGTACATATTATGGCTAAAAGTAGTGATACAGCAACATGTTGGGAGTACTTGATTACGAACACATCCCACTCACAGACCTACTAAATATTTGTGGAGTCCCCTTATTGCTATGCTCTGGACTCGTTGCAGTCTGACAGAGAGGCAGATAGAGCAAAATAAACTTACTGTAAACATGGAACAAGGCAGTTACAGTATCATCATTAATATTAACAACATCTGGAAAGAAAATGGAGGCTGGTGGTGAAGTGAAAATATCAAAGGTAATAGGCAAAGACTCAAATCTATAGCGAGGACAGCAGATTCTTAACATTTTAAGACAACTGAATGACCCAGCAAGTGACAAAACTAAATATTAACGTTTTTGTTCCATGATGACCAATCTGTATATCTAGAAGTCTCATTAAAAGGATAAAAAACATTTCACAGAACAACGCTATCTCTGCCAAACTCCAACCTTTGTAGGGAGATAACTGTAAGACACTTGCAACAACCTGCACCACAGGGCACGACATAATACAGTATATACACAACGTCTTTATATCATATTCTACAAGCTCTCCTGGCCCTATCATTTTGTTCTCTTTACAAGTCACATTTGCAAAACGAGATTATCAACATGCAAGAGCCGTAACTAAACAACAGTGATGTGAACAGCAGCGTACAACTGTAGATTTAAATATATACTTTCAAACAGAAAAGGCCAGGAAACAAAAATAATCAGACTAGCCGTGTCACAATTCACATCGCATGCTAAATAAGTGACAGGGGCAGGTGGAGGAGATCTGTGGCCTCGCACACATGTAGACTTTAACACGTTGGAACCATATCAGTCATTTAACACGACAAAGGAAGCTCTTACCAAATGTTAACATCTGCATTTCGTCTGTGAAATACATGACGACTGAACTGAAATGCTTCCCGGGGTCAATATGTATGTGCCAGGCCACAGACGACAGTGTCTATATGTACATCTCCTACTTCACTGTGTGCGTGCGTGTGTGTGTGCGTGTCAGCTGCGTCACTTCTCCTGCAGCAGGGCGGGGATGTTGATGTTCCAGCCGATGGCCTGCCGGTCGAAGCCGCAGGTGAACAGGTTGCACGACTGGTTCTCTTCGTTCCAGGCCGTACAACACACCATCCGCCTGTGACCCTGCACACACACGATTATGATGTTAGAATACTGTGGATAGAACAAACACACACCTGTGTGGCCGTGTTGCCCTCTTCCTCACCATTCTGTTGCTGCGTGGGAGTCTGGCCAGCCGCACTCCGCTCATGTCAAACAACCGGACCTGTCGATTGTCGTGTGGCAGGGCGATGATCCTCTGGTTGGCGGACACGCTGATCCTGAAAGGTCAACACAAGTTCACTTTGAATCCGGGCCACACTTTTGAACTGCAGTCGAGATATATATATATACAGCTAAAGACACATCTTTTTATTAACAACCCCCCACATTATATGTTCTTTTAGTCTTTATTATTTACCTACCTTTATATTGTTTTTATTTGATAGGTCTTAAAAGGATTTGATCTTGTTTTATTAATCTAACATGCTTTAATAGCAATATTTCTTTTTACGTTGGTCTTCTTTATTTCTTAATCGTTTAACCTTTATTAGAATTATGGCATTCTTATTCCTATTATCTTTTATTTCTGTAGTACCTATATGTTCACTTTTGTTGCATCGATTCAGTCGTCTTGTGTCTTATCTGAAACCATTATTTTATTATCATACATTAGACCTTGTGTCTATTAACCTGATCAAATGTTATATTTTGCTGCATGTACCTTTTTAAAGTTCTTAACAAATCATCTGAGGCGAATTTCTTGTTGATTGTTTTGAACTTGTGATGTGTCATTTTGTAAAGCGCTTTGAGCTGCTCGTGTTGTATGAAAAGTGATATATAAATAAAGCTGCATTATTATTATTATTATTATATGACTATTCCTGTTTTATATAGTTATGATATTTTTCACATACTATGGCTCACATGCAGCTGCGTGTCACTTACCGGTTCACAGCTGAGTCAGTGCGGATGGTTGCTATTGGCGACCTCATGTTCTTTAAATCCCACACCTTCACAGTGCGGTCGTCACTCCCTGAAACCACGTTGTCTCCCACCGTGAACACTGCTGACGTCACCGTGCTAGAAAGATGGACACGGAAAAACAAGGAATGAGATGTGTTGTACTCCACAACACATTTCTGAAAGTAAAGCAGGAAAAGGACTAAAGTTTCAGGAGTGAGAACTTTAGATAGAAGCTCCAGTCACCCTCCCAGACGCTGTAATTGCTCGTACACCTTAACGATGTGATAGATCCACAAAAGCGTCACAGTGACAGGAAGTGTCATGAGCAGAGAGGATGTATCAGGTGCAACATTAGGAAGTTAACACTGTGGTGACTCACCATTTAGAAATATTACAAGGCATCACCTTCCCAGAGGAGAAAATAGGAAAGGCAGGATCACACTTTGGCTGAGTTCCTGTCACATGGCTGTAGCTCTCAGAAAGCTACTTGATGGGTTCAAAACTGACGACGCTCTTTGATCATGTTGCATAAACCAAACACTACAGGTTGAGACCACATGAAGAATCACCAGAAAAATAGCTTAAGGGAAAAAAACAAGGTTCTTTTTTTTACCATTGTAGCTATACTTTAATATCTTTAATAAAAGGTGTATAATAATAATAACCACTAAAATATGTTCATATGAATGGATTGTAAACTGGATTTTATTTTACATAATTATTATATAAAAGTTGTTTATTACCATTAAATATCTAGATAAATGGTTAGTCTATTATTTTAGCTAACTATATGAACAGTTTGTTCATTATTTCAGTCATATCCATTACTTTTAACTACTCCAACAATTTACAACAATTATACCCTTTACTATGGACTAACTTGTTTTTTCACACACACTCGCATCACATGATGTGTTACAACAACTGACTCAGTTTGATGGCAAGTTCACAAGATAGCTTGGATTTGCTTTATTTTTAAGACAACCTACCTTTTTTTTTTATCAAATCAAAATTGAGAAATGATTTCAAAGCCGTGGTCAGTTCAACAGATCTGAAAGTGGTTCCTCTTTAGGTCTTATGGAAGTGTGTCGTTAGCCTTCAAACCAGAATAAAAATAGAAATGTACCAAAAACACAATACCTAATAATAATACATAGTAGGGGTGGGCGATATGACGATATATATCGTCGTGACGATATTAGGTCTCCACGATATGCTTTTTTAGAGATATCGTATCTATCGTGAAAAAAAAACGTTTCCCTTCAGTTATGCTAAAGTCTTTTATTGCACTTCAAGTCTAAAGTTTACATTTTAATTGTTTGGCACTGACTTTTCCTCATTGATGTTTTATGTTTTACTTAGTTATGTTTTACCATCATTTTCATGTTTATTGATGTTCACTGCTAGTGCTACCTCAGAAAGTTCATTTTTATACTGAGAAACTGTGCCTTGAAGCCATATCAAAATGTTGAATTGTTCATTCAGGGATTCATTTCAGAAATAAAACCAGCTTGAAATGCTATTTTGGTCTGTTACTCCTTTTTGTTGTAGTTTCTGTTACCTTGTAGGTGCTTGTACTGTTAAGTAACTTGAAAAATAACCATAATAACCGACATGAAAAAATATCGTGATATATATCGTCTATCGTGATACTGCTTGAAAAATATCGTGATAATATATTTTTCAATATCGCCCACTCCTAATACATAGCTATTCGACATACAGCGTCCCCCTCCCTCCCTGCCCTGTATCCAGCCGCGCTGCCCTGCTCCACAGGATGCCACTACAGTCAGCCATTACCTTAACAGAGCCTTCATATTTCCAATCCATTACTGTACGTGAATGTGAGGGCTTTCTTCTCCCTTCCTCCCTTCTGTGCCTGTTTAATGAATGGTTGAAGGAAGTTTCTTAAAAGGCACTTTCCCTTCACACAGAACGTCTACTTTTTCTCTCTAAAACTGTCTTCCCTCTTAATTCAAATTGACACGGCATTAAGGGCTAATTAGAGGACTAAACTCTGTTCTATTAGAGGGGCTGGGGTTTAAGGAAACTGCTGTATCGTTACAGGAACCTTCTGACACTGCAGGGTACAGCCACCCAGGGAATACAGAGAGAAAGAGAGGGGGGGGTGCTCAATGGGAGGTGTGCAGGGCAGCGTTATCAGACAAGGTCATTGATTAAAAGGTTGATTAAGGTCAAAGGGTTTCTCAAACGGGTTGTGAGGAAGGAGGGAAGTGTTCAGTGCTACTTAACGGCATCTCTGCAGCGTCTGACAGCCAAGCTCAGGACCTGAGACTGAGGGAGCGGGCACAGGGAATGATGGGACCTCTCTAACGTTGGGGAAGTTAAGGAGAGATTAATGAAGACTCTGCCATAAAGCCCTAAGTTCCCCAGCATCAGGAATACCCAAAGAGATGGAGAAGACATCAGACCTCTGTTTATGCTTCTCTATTTCAAGAGTTATCTTTCGACTGACAGCTGAGGTTATATGAGAGAGTTTCGTTGAGTCAGTGACAGCCCAGATTACACCTGTAGTTTCAGCCTCTAAAACGACCTAAACCTAACTTCAAAGACTACAGACTTTGTGTGATTTTGGCTTCAAGGTAGCCCACTTCTTTTTAACTGAGAGACCTTTAACAGTTAGTTGTACAGTCTTCCATTAAAAGTAATTACTCTCACTTAGCCCATAGTTCACATCATACATTTATATTCACCTTTTACACAACGATCAAGTTATATAATACAATTATCTCCAGTTAACTTGAAGATTTGTAAGTGCAGAGAATCCGTACTGAACACTTGTCCAAACAGTATTTCACGTAACAAAAGTATGGCATAAAGGTACGACATGGAAGATTATCAAGCAGAGAAATAGAGTAGAGGACCTGCTGTGCTATAGAAGCATCTATATAGCGTATCACAGGCCTCGTAGACTCAGATTCGCACTGCCCTTAGTGAAAGTATTTGATATTACTGAAAGACACTCACTGAAGGAAAGGCGCACACTGGCAGGGAGAAAGCTTTAAAAGCGTAAAATGATGAAACTGGTGATCAGTTTAATGGATGCTTTACAGTTGGCTCTAAGGGATGTTTGGCTTGACCACATAGTTACCGTAAGTAACTATCAATGAACAATAAACAGCCAAATCATGATTTCATTTAACTTTTATAAAGACCTTTTGTAGGGCAACTTAAGTGCTCCTCGGCACACTGTGATTTGATGATACATCTGTGAAGCTAAAGGGGAGTATTTGTTCAGGCTATGATCCTCATCCTCCTCCCTAATGAGTGCTTTAATGATCGATGTATGACTTTATGAGAATCTCAAGGGTTAAAACAAAGGAAGTGTGTGACTCCTAAGCCCATAAGTTAAACAGGTCCATTAAACCATTGAGGTAAAGATGACTAAGGTTTTAGAGCACTCTATTTTGCTGCAGTGAGACTGGCAGTCGCTGAGAACCTGGTAAGTGCTGGTGTATTCCTCCAGAGACTGGATGTCAGATCTGAATAAAGACACACACACACACAAACGTGCACGTCTATTAACCGCTATCAAATGTCTCAGAAAGCCGCCGATGGCAGGAGACAAACGTGACATGGCATTCCTTTTGTAGAGCAAGTCTGCTGTCACTTCTCGTTTGCTGCCGCCCGCTTTGTTAGCTCACGTGCAGTTGTCATTACTCTGCCATTATGGCGCGGGGGGGGGGGGGTTGGAATGGAGGGCGTGTGCTGCACTTTTAACTGCCCTGGTTCACTGTCAGGAAGCGTTAGCTGTAATTGCCAATGAAGAGTGGAAACGAGAGGATGTCTCCCTCCAGCTCTCAGCCTCCGCTCCGATTAAAGCACTCTCACTCAGAGATATGAGACTGTGCTGTTTACGCCATACTGGGGAAAATGTAAGTATACTGTAAACATATGTCTATAACAAAATGTAAGAATTTGCAGCTTCAGTAAACGGAGTATCATTAGGGGGGGTGACTGCATCTGACCAAAGATATGTGAAGGTGTCAATTGTACTCCTTTTGAAATTGTGCAGACCAGCTGACAAGTTTAAATATCAGTACCTGCAGCACTAGATGTGAGTCTCCATGAAAAATAAGCTAGTTCAAGTTAGTTACTAATTGCCTCCTCCCTCAAAGGTTCAGGTGGCAGCACTACAGCCTTCAGCTTTACAGCTTTTTAAAGTTGTTTCAGTATTTCTGCAAACCGTTTGATCTGTTTTGAGCGAGACGGCATTCTGAGTACGTTTGCTGCCGTCAATCAACCACAGAAGAAGAAGTAAGAAAGTTTATCATTTAAAGACCATCGATGGCCTTTCAAGCTGGAAAGAAGAATGGAAAGAGGGGCTGCCGTTAACTGTGGAACACTGGGGTGTCATCTCATTATGCCAATTGTCTATGGGAGAGAATTAGAGTGGGATCTGCAGGAATTATACATGTTGGGGTCGCACATAATGAGCTCTATGTAATCCCCCCACTCGCAATCAAAGGCTGCCAGAGAGATGCAGCCAGGCAGCACACCCATGTAGACGTACACACACACACACACACACACACACACACACACACACACACACACACACACACACACACACACACACACACACACACACACACACACACACACACACACACACACACACACACACACACACACACACACACACCCACACACACACACACACACACACACACACACACACACACACACACACACACACACACACACACACACACACACACACACACACACACACACACACACACACACACACACACACACACACACACACACACACACACACACACACACACACACACACACACACACACACACCTCTTGTGCCCTTATAGAGCGCTGCCATTGAAAGCCACAGACAAGCCTGACTGTCATCGCTTTGAAATGAGCGTCTGCAATTGAGTGTTAACAGCGAGCAAAGTGCCAAATTACACAGAGTGGAGGATTAACGCAGGAACGGACAGATAAATGAACAGGAGAGCGAGCGAGGGAGGGAGAGAGAGAGAGAGAGAGAGAGAGAGAGAGAGAGAGAGAGAGAGAGAGAGAGAGAGAATAGCAAAGTGTCGAAGTGAAGTGCTCAGTAATGAATGAGAGGAGGATTTGGCTTAGAGCAGTAGGCTCTGTACATTAATGTTGTTGCACTGTAAGGGGAAAGAGGGAAGAGCAGAAAGTACCGGAGGGATTTACAGAGCAGGGCGATGTTACAGCACCACCCTGTGGGCAAGATAAGGACTGTAGCAACTACAACTGTTGGAATGACTTGAGGTTGAATGTGCGACTTGTTCCAGATTTGTTTTATGCATCTCTAATTAGTAATGCACAATCCACCTTAATAATGCGAGCTCAACGCAGTTTTTCAGGTTGATGTGTGAAGCTCATTAGCTAGCCAACATGTATCTAACAAATGTTTAGCAAAATATTAGAAGTGAGGCTACTAGACTAACGTTAGGTCGACTGTGATAGCCTCACTTTTAATAGTTTGCAAAACATTAGCTAGCACTAGTGTTTTGCAGTTGCTAGCAGCTTATTGGGATGTTATGCTAGATAGACAGGCATTGTTTTGATATCATGAATTAAGCATTATTGTTAGTTAAGCATGTCAGCCTGCAGCCCCACTTCTTGTCTCTCTCTCTCTAACTCATTGCAGATGGCTGCACTAAAGAAAAGGGCACAGAGAGGAAACCAGTTGTAAGATGTTTAAAAGTTCATTAAACATAATATATGCTTAAATGCATTTCAAAGAAGTTGTGTTGAGTTTGTGTTATTCTACATTTTGACACCAAGATTTTCTGATTTTACTGCAAATGTATATCGGTTCCAAATATCGGTTATCGGTCTCCTTGATTACTAATAATCGGTATCGGCCTTGAAAAAGCCATATCGGTCGATCCGGTGTGTGTGTGTGTGTGTGTGTGTGTGTGTGTGTGTGTGTGTGTCAGACTCACTCAGTGTGTCCCTGGAAGACGTTGACGGAGTGGATGGACGGGTCTCTGAAGTCCCACAGTCTGAAGGTGGTGTCTCTGGAGGAGGTGACCACCAACCGCTGAGTGGGGTGGGTACAGCAGTGGGTCAGCTCCTGGTCGTGGCCTACACACACACACACACACACACACACACACACACACACACACACACACACACACACACACACACACACACACACACACACACACACACACACACACACAACACACACACACACACACACACACACACACACACACACACACACACACACACACACACACACACACACACACACACACACACACACAACACACACACACACACACACACACACACACACACACACACACACACACACACACACACACACACACACACACACACACACACACACACACACAGGTTTCCGTTAGCCGGTAATTACCGTTTTTTTAGCTGGTAACATTGAATAAAAACCGGTAAATTCAAAACCTGCCGGTCAAAATCCGATGCTCCGATCGATTGGTCGTCGATCATTATGGCCCGATATTCACTCTTAATAGTTTGATCGGTGCTCTCTATAAAGGCCGATCAGGAGAGCTGGATCTGATCGATATGGACATAAACGCGAGTGAGGTGTAACCGGACGCCAGAGAGAGAGATCAGATCAGCTGCTGCATAATCACCTGAAGCCCCGCCCACTGTTTAGCGCGCTGCATGAGAAACTGACGGGCTGTCAGGAGAGGGAGAGAGAGAGAGAGGAGAGAGAGAGAGAGAGAGAGAGAGAGAGAGAGAGAGAGAGAGAGGAGAGAGAGACAGAGAGAGAGAGAGAGAGAGAGAGAGAGAGAGAGAGAGAGAGAGAGAGAGAGAGGGAGAGAGGAAAAGAGAGGATCCGTTTCTCCCGTGTTATTATTCAAAGTTAATTTAAACTTTTGAATAATGTACTTCATCTACTACAAGTAGTTTATTTGAATGTAATAATTATGTTGTTTGTTGTATCATTTATTGAAAAATTAAATCTGAATTTTTCGATCTGTTACGATTATAAACTGAAGCAATATAAAAATGACTCCCATTAACTGACTTTTAAACATCAGCATATCCGCTCATAGTCCGGTGATTACCTGCTAACGGAAACTCTGCTACACAATTCTTATTATTCTTATTGAAACATGACCGGTAAGTTTCAAATTTCTCCGGTAAAATCAATTCTGTCCGGACATTTGACCGGCGAGAAAAAATCCTAGCGGAAACCCTGACACACACACACACACACACACATTAGAAGACATACTGAACCTCTGTGGTGTGGATACCCTTTCTTTCTTTCTTTCAGTCTTTATTTCGAACAGATTAAAAAATAACAAATAACAAATGTGAAAAACAGAATACCGTATTGTTATAATACAGTATTTATCCACATTCATGGTAATATTTGTATATTCAACAAAAAAACAAAAAATGTCTTCATATTAATAATAATATGAATGTGAGACATGTTTTCTACGTTAACAACATGGGTTCTCTTTCAAGTGTTGAATATAATTATGTTGTATATCCTGTCCATTACATTTCTGTAGAACAATCGGCCAGGACAACATCTATTTGATTAGTTAGTTACACTAATTAGAGGGAAGAGCAGCTCTTCCTTATTTTGGGGGGGAACAAAAATAAAAAGTGCTCCATAAAACGAAAAGGCTGCCATTGAGTCTCACTAACTCGCTTCCTGTTCACTAAATGCTACATTAAAAGGTAAATGTGGGCATTTAGACTAATGATACAATCATATGGATCTATATACAAAAATAAAAAGACTAGATGTTTTATGTCTTTTCAGAAATGTAGTCACTGTAAATCAGCGAGAAAATTTGGTACGGCCCTCGAGGTAATTTATAAACACACGCAAAAAAGAAAAAAATGTAAAAAATTAAACAAGTGAGTGCCTGTTTTTCCTGGCCAAGGTCAGGGTCCTTGAACACAACACGAGCCTAACGTGTCATCACGTGGTATATGTCTCGACTGACAGGGGTGCAGTTCTGACGGAGAGCACCAGAACGCCACTCCAGCACTTCAGAAATTGCAGTACCGATAAGTTTCTGCGTGTCTGTGTCTTAGCTGAAAGCCCAGTGGCGATCTGTTCATCTGTCATACTGCTCATACAGTCAATAACTTTGTTGTTATTAGCATCTGGTTAGCTAGCTATGCTAACGAATATAAGACGCTTTTTCTACAATCAGTGAGGTAAAGGCACATCTTCATTACAGTTATAAAAAAATAAGAGAATAAAGTATAGGTTTAACAGGTATAAAATACTATATGACAGTAAAAAAAAGTTGTTATTAGTAAAGAAGAATACAGTTTGAAAGGGGAGTGATTTGTCAAATATTCATAAATGATAGGGTGAGACAAAGGTTGCATTGTGTTGCTTTTCATTTGGTAATGATTTAAAATATAGTTGTATCTGTTGTGCAAAGTGACAGCGGAAGAAGATAATGACTACATACTCAATGCAATATCTGAACAACACATAAATACTTGAAAATGTAATGTATATACACTACAGTATACGCACTAAGTTATAATGTGTCAGTTTACGTACCAGAGAGAGAGTGAACCAGTTCAGACGTCTCCACTTCGTACAGGTTGGCAGCTCGATCCCAGGAAGCGGTCACCACCTGTCGACCTCCCACCAGCCAATCAGCAGCGATCACTACCCCCTGGTGGCTCTTCAGGGTTGCTGTAGCGACCCTGACAGTGGGGACCTCGCAAGGACCCTCACCGTCCACCTCCCCTTCCTCTCTGTCTGAAGAGTCCTGGTCCTCATCACATGGGGCCTATGGGGGGGAACAAAGGACAACATATTAGTTTTCTGTCATTTCATTCTGCACATATTCCACAAAGCCTGGAGATTACTGACGCTAAACTGTCTCTTAGGAAAGTCCGATTCTACATTTTAAATATGTTTGTTGTACACAGCTTCATTTTTCTTATTTTAAATATACTTCTAGGTTCTTTACTATGAAAATTTATTGATGAACCTTTGATGAGTATAGTCAGTAAAAGCACACAGAGGCCTGCAGTGATACAGATATTTGCACTTGTACTTAATATTCAGTGACTTAATTCATCTTTTTGATGGTAAATACACCTCTTAAAACGGCATGACATTCCAGGATGTACAAAGGTACTCACACTGACGTCTGGAGTTGGCTGGGGGACAGGAAGCTGCACCATGTAGCGCCAGATGTGAGCCGTCTGGTCCCCAGAGGCTGTGGGAACAAAAGCACTCATCAGCAAACACACACAGATCCACTGCAGGAGAAACAGCAGCAGGGAGAAGATGGTCAAACAGTCGGATGCACAAAGTTCTGGGTAATTTAACAACATAAACACTTTAAATAAATACCTGTAAGTGCCATTTGCTCTGTGGGGTGGAACTTGATGGAGTTGACTGGGGGCGAAAGAACAATTATGTTATTAATGTCACATCAAATGTTCCTATTATCTCACAACCCATGACACACTTTTCCATATAACATTAACCTATACATTTTAATTATACGAGTTTAACAAAGAAACACTGTTTTGAGTCTCACGGTTAATTACAAATGATTAAAGTTCCTTTCAAGTTTTTACCTGATCCTGCATGGCCAGCATACCTCAGCAGACACTTCCCAGTCTCTATACTCCAGAGCAGAGCCGAGTGATCTGTGAGGGGAGCAGGATGGGGACAACATGAAGCCTTTTACATTTTTATAGTTGGTAATCAAGTCAGGTATACAACACTTTATAAGGAACACCAACTTGGATGTTTATTCCAAGCAAATACAGAGTTTGCAGAGTTTCTTACAATGTCATATTGGAAATAAGAATAAAATCATGTTTCAAAAAAAATACAAAAGCCATTTTTGAGAGACATTTGATGGTATTAGCACTTACAACACTGCTTGTGTGTTAGAAATCTTATCAAATATCTAAACTATTATCTCAGTTTTTTTGCAAATAATGCGAAAAGGAGTCTGCAGGAACCCCTTTTCACATAGCCCAAATGTATGGTTAGGAACATGTGTTGCTGCTGGAGGGGATTATTTCCCCTAAAGAGAAAATATAAGAGACATTAAGAGAATGTTGCTGCATGAGTCCCAATGATCAGAATGGTGTAAAAATTGCATACATTGCCTTTTGTCTGACTACTAGTGCATTAAAAACCACTTTGATCATGTTGGCTCAGAACCCGGTGGCAGTGGTTGACAGATAGTCCTTTAAGTACCTGCGGAGGCGGTGCCCAGCACCACAGGCACGGTGCGGGTGATGCTCAGGTCCCAGATCCCGTCCCGGTGACCCATGTACTCCTTGAGCAGCTGGCACACAGCCCGGGACCCCGCGGTGGCTTTGAAGCTGGACACAATCTGAGCAGGGGGGGGGAGAGAAGAGAGGTGGGCATGATGGAGAAAACCATGGACGAACGATGAGCTTTTCTCCTGGAGTAGAACTAAAGTAAACCAGGAAGAAATGTAGGTAACAGGTGCACCAAGACTACGATTTTAGAATTGATGGGTATAATATTTATTTTGAGAGAGTGGGCCAATAAACACCAGCTTGTGTGTGACTTAATTTAAAGGCCTACTATGGCACGGTTACGGTGACACCAGAGTTCCCGTTAGAATATTTTTTCGCCGGTCAACATGTCCGTTAAAGTTTAAATCTTCCGGACAAAATGAGAAAAGTGCCGGTCAAAGGTCTTCTTTGTTATTTATTGTGCTTTAAAACAAATTGATATGATTCGATATTAAACAAACTAATTATAGTAGATTAACTACATTATTCAAAAGCGTACAGTAACTTACAATAACACGGGAATAATAAACGGAGCGCTCTCCCTCTCCTGACAGCCCGTCAGTATCATCGAGCTCGCGGATCAGCAATGAGTGACCCGACAGTAAAACTAAACATATCTATAACTAGTTACGGTAGTTTGAGAGGTCATTAAAATAGCTACGTGTGATATTCTAACCTGAAGTGTGTGTTTTGTTCTGCTCACCGCTGCATGTGATCATCCAGAGCTGCGTGTCGACTCGTCAGCAGCTGAACTCTCTCCCGTCAGATTAGACTTCACTCGCGTTTATGTCCATATCGATCGGATCTAGCTAGTTCTAGCTAATGATATGACTACCTGCTTATTAAAAGACACCTAAACAATAAGCGTCGCTATGCAACTGGGTGAGGCCGCAAAGTATAGCGCAGCATTATGCATTTGTTTACATGCCCACCGGAACCCCGAGGCATTACCAACAGATCAACGCACAAACAACTCACACAGGACATCTCTTTCTCCATATTAAGCGTTAGACATTAGAATTGACTATTCTTGTCTGTCACATACTCTTTTGTCTGTCACATAAATGGCGCAAGTTGCGCAACTGATGTGGTATTGCGCTAAACGGAAATTATTTTGAACGGACACTTTGACCGGAGAGATTTAGATTTGCCGGTCTTCAGCATATTTTACCGGTCGTAGTCCGATAATTACCGGCTAACGGGAACTCTGGGTGACACCTGAATCAATAGGGTTTACTATTTGTGTTATATAATATAACTGAAAGCTGGCTATTCCTTATTTATTTATGGTATTACCACGGTTACAAGTATTACATAACCATACCGTAAGACTAGAAAGATCATAACTTAATTGAACTTTGAATTATACTTCCTACAGGATACAGGATTCCAACGGAGAGATACATTGACGATAAAGTGAGAAAGAATGAATAAGTAAATGACGCTTGAAGATCAAATATAACTTTTCTTTTCATGGTAATCATTTCAGATAGAAGAAACATTTTGCACAATTATGTGTTTAGTCTAGAATTAAATCACAGACTAATTCATGGATATTGTAGCTGCATATTAATTGTGCATATGCTCATTATGAATGCAGTATGTCAGTGGGATTAGCCTTTCATTTATTTTCCTCATTACTTGTACCATGTGGAGATTATCCCTAGTGTTTTAGCATTTCCAAATCTATGTGCCACAAGCACTGCAGACAATGTTTCTGCAACTGTGTGTGTCACGCACGTATAAATATCAAGCCTGCTCTAAAGCCAATTCAAGCTTCATCAGTACACTGATACTGTACGAGTGGGGCACCTCTAAATATATAGAGGGGTCTTGTTACACATGGCCTGAAGTCACTGCAGGTCAGCAGATGAACAAATGAAAGGGTGAATCTGATTTGTCACCAAGGAGTCACAAGATGCATTGTGCATGCTGCTGCAATAACCTCAGCAATAAGCCTCGATCATTGGTAGTCATTAAATGCAGCAACCAATCATCTGGTTCCCCTGTGTGAGATGATGCTCTCACTCAGCTCCCATTCGCATCACAGGACAAACACAACCTTATCTGCAATCAATGAGCAACAGGAAAATAGCCCATTCCAGTCAAAGTCACCCCAGAGGTAAGGGTAGAGTTAGTTAGTACAGATCATTAGTTCCAAGAAGTCTTACCAACATTAGCTTTCTGTCATGTTTCTTAGCCAGCTGTTTATTACATACATAGCAGCTAGTTCTGTTAATTCAGGAAGTTCTCCCTTGATCCTATGTATCCTCTTTTTATAACTTTTAAATAATTCAGAAGAGGATTGTATTCCACTCTTCATGTAGCTCAGACTTTGAGGGGCTAAGTGGAACTCTGTAGGAAAATGAGGTAGAGAAGTTCATGTTGGCATAATATTTTTCTGTATTTTAGTTTTTTAAGGAAATAACATTCATTCATACATTAGGCATAAGCAACAGCGGCAAACAGAAATTACTAGAATATACACTAAAGAAGGATTGGAACACCAGATGTAAGAAAACGCTTTAATATGCGCAACAAAGCCCTGCATTAAAGGAATAGGAAGTAACTTGGGTAAATCACTTCTTGCAGAGTTAGATAAGAAGATGTGTCTGTTTTGGGCTTTTTTTACACAGTGTATATCCTAGAATACTTCTTATCTAAAAGCAGTTGCCAGGCAACTAGCGGAGATGCCAAGTTATTGGGCAAGAAATAGCACGGTACACTCGATTGATTAAAAATGCCACATATAACAAGTTAATCACTGCGTATTTGAGATGCTGGTACTAGGCAACGTTAGCTTAGTATTTAGCTCAAAGACATGCAGGGGGTATCGATTAATTTTCTTCGCCAACTCTCAAACTCTCTAATTAACTCCGAACTAACTTTGTACTGAAAGTTGCTTGGTTTGAGGCCAGTCTGTCTAAACGGGCTAATGATAAGTGAGTCAAGGGGCGACTAAAGAAATGGATGCCATGCTCAAATTTCAGAAAAAAACAACTTGAGTGACGACACTTCCAAATGTTTTTGGAAGTGTTTTATTAATGTATTTAGGAATGCAGCCGATCCCCCACAGGCCTTCTGACAGGGTGCAGAGCAGAGAAGACATGAGGAGTCAGACTGCAGTTAAAACAGACTCAGCCCACAGCTGGCCCTCACAATGCTTAGTGACAAACAGAGCATTCAGGAAGTTACCCATGAATCTCCTCCCCACAACTCGCATGAGGTCACACGGAAGTTGCGAGGTCCACTTATTTTGCCGTGGAAAGTGTACAAGCACTACATAGGCAAGAGATTAAAAAGGAAGAAGTCAAGGGAATATGTCATTTAATAATAACAAATAAAGTTTCCTTCACTTCCTGTAAGTTCAAAAGTCTTTATCCAAATGCATAAGCACTTTAACAACAAATTCATTCAACAGTAATGATTCTTGGTCACAGTTTCATTTGTGTACCTTTACATATCATGACCTCAGGAGAAGAATACAAAGACTTCCTTCTGCTCACTCAGCAACAAAGGGGCTTTTGATAGTCTGTGACCATAACCTGCACAGCTCAAATAATTACACAGATGACAAATCTTATGAGCTCCATAAAATAAGCTAAAATAGCAGGTACCTTGCTGGTGGAGGCTTTGTAGGTCGTCTTCAGCTTCTGTGACAGTTGGCTGGTGCTGTGGCTGGCTGGGAGACGGGAAGAACAAAGAAAACAATGAAGGGAATTCAACACTGTGGCATTGGTTGGTTTCACTGCTGCACTAATAGCCTTATAAAGTGTTATAGTTGTGCACACCACACCACACACACCATAGGGTTGTTTCCTAAAACAAGAGAATTGGTTAAACAAGGCTTACTTCAGCAAACCTGGCTTTACCTAAGTTATAACGGAACTCATCCCAGTTTTTCAAGTTTAGCTTCATGTCAATTTTACAATGCAAGATTCCTCTTTACCAATTCATTATTAACATGAGTTGCTGACATCATTGTGCACAGAATGACAGTCATTGTGTTTTTAAATATTGTGCAACAATGGAATGAGATATACACTTAATTTGAGAGCCACCCATCAATAGTTTTCCTTTTAATTTCAAAAGATGCAGAAGTGTCTGTTAAGAATATTGAGATCAGCAACCAATTGTGAAAAAAAAATATTGCACCTTTTGTTTTGAGAGCCCCTTTGGTGGGGTCTCCTCCATCAACAGTCTGTCCATCTCCGGTCAGACGCTCGTTCAGAGAGTCGATTTCCCGGCGTACTGTAATGTTAGCACAGTGAGAGCATCAGTAAGCAAGCAACGACACCATCTGGTCCGTCAATCAACACCTGAAGATCAATTCAGTAAGGTATGTTTCATAGAAATCTAAATGCAATCTGAATACATTTGCCGCGCTCTCTCAATCTGATACTTACATTCAATGTTTTCAATGTAGAGATTTTCAAACTCTCGCTCAATCTGGCCAAAAAGGTCAAGGAGATTGTGCCGTAGAGAGAGGGGCAGCTTAGAGTCCTGTAGAGGCAGAGCAGGAGAGAACAAGGCTTGAATGAACCTGATGGTAAACTGACATATAATACATTACAAATCACATTGGTGTATGGAGCAGTCATCATCCCCCCATATCCCTCTGCAGTGTGGTGTTCTCTTTTACTTATAGTGGGTCAAATCAAATGTTCAAAATAGAACCATCAAAACAGAATGTTGCTGACAGGTCCAATATTTTTTGGAAAACAAACAAATCGAAAGCAACCTATATAAATCTCATGTCAAACACAGCCTGTGTGTTTACGTAATTTAATCAGCTACCAATTGCGTAAAATCTCATCCAAATGTGAGCTACATAACAAGAGCCAGGGTCCAACCAACACATTTCATCTGACTCACCTCCATGGTAAACTCATAAAGGCACCCAGTTATCTGACCACCAGTCTACACCACACTAGCATCCGAAGACACGTAAAAAGCTTGCCAAAAAAACAAGAGGTTCCAAAGGCTGCATTTGACAGCTCGCCTTAAGAGCGGCTGCTTTCTCTAGCCATCAGAAAGCCGTGGAAACCAAACACTTGACTGTCACTCTTTCTCCTGGCACACGTCCATGACCAAGAGTTTGCGACAGTGACATTAACCGCCTGACCATTCCGTCGGCGCCTCATGTAAACACACTTCACAACGGCTGCCTGTTGTTTGCTTTTTACAAAGCTGCTTAGTTGTGGCCCTAAAACCTGCAATGTACTCTGGCTAATAATGACAGCATTGATGGAAAGAAACGGCATTCTGTGTATGTGGAACTTTTTCTGGGGGGTAGACTAGGTACATAAACAGAGCCAGCATGTCTGGGCAATAGACAAAAAGGCCTGGTGAAAAGACTAATCAGCCCTGGACAAGCGGCCCATATTAAAACTTGATGAGACAACAGGCCGGTGCAAAATGAGCTCTAGTTGTAAGGGCTGATGATATACGAACATTGTCTAACAGAGAAAGTTCATCTGGAAGAAAATAACGCACCAAATACAATGTTTTGCCTTTCATTCAGTTAAATCTCCCATGACAGAAATACATGATGATATTATCAGAGATAACTCTAAATAGGGTCACCCTTAAGCCAACTCCCAAAAGTAATAACCAGGATGTTGTTGATCAAACAGAAACAGCTTTTTATTATCTCAATAGAAAAGAGACTTGAGAGCAACTGGTTTGCAGCAGGAAATGCCTGCCTAAAGTCTTTAAAAATCAATTGTAGCTCTCATTTAAATAACCAGTTTGGTTAGTTAATCACTAACTTGATGGGACCAGTGGGATTAAAAAGTCACAGTAGATCCCTTTGTTTAAAACATAAGAATATAAATCATTAACCATGTGTAAATGCAGCACAGAAAATGTTCAAAAAATGCCAAATCAAGATGACATTGACACTTTAACTGAATACATTTTAATCAAAATTCATTGAGATGCCTAAAAAAAAACCTCCCATTTGCACAGAGAGGAGAAACCACATCTCATAAATACATAGCAGCATGGAGCTGTGAATGTTACACCAGGAACAAAATAGAAGCAATGCTGCTCAACCGGCTGGTACTATACTCACATGACAAAAAACATCACCAGGAAAATGCTAATTAATAAAGAAAAACATTCTGGTATGTATTTTTTGGGGCACATCCAAAATAAACGTTGTGCGCCTGGATTACAAAATATGTTCTCACACGTTTTATAAGCATGATGTGATGCCAAAATACTTGTGTGCTGCTGTCAGTGTGCTTGTGTGTGAGAAAGCAAGAAATGCCAGATGTTTGTGAATGTCGCTCACCTGGCCCTCCAGCATGTCTCCTCTCTGGATGCCTGCTGGCCTCTCCTCGGTGCTGTTGGTGCGCCGGATGGACAAACTGTGAGCCTTGCGCTTCTGCTTTGGGTGACGGGCAGCCGAAGCAGAGCCGCTGCTGCTCCCGCCCTCCACAGGCATTCCTCCTACCGTACGGTGGCCCTGCCCCTCCCCGCTCACCTTAGAGGCAGGTAAACAAAGGCTCTCTAGTTGGCTCGTGTGTAGGTTGGTATGTTATCACCACCTGTCTGAAATTAAAAAAGGAAGTGAAGTTCAGGCTCACAGTCACTGCAGGAACAGTTCAAGGTGAAAGGACGCCTCCCCTGCATTAATACACAGTAATTCAACTAGATATTTTAGATTAAGGGTGCTTAGTAGTTACAGTCTTGCCCTGGTACCTGCTGCTCTAAAACAACATTTAATGCGGCCACATGTCTTTGATTGATTGATTGATTGAAAAGTTTATTAACAGCTTGTATATTGGGTACAGTACAGTACAGCTCAAAACATACAATTGTTAAGGGGATGCAGACCAGAGAAAGACTTTCGTCTTGTTTACATCAGGGTCCCCCATTTCCAATTCATCATATCATTTAAGACATATAAGACATATTTGACATACAGATGGCTTATTTACAATTTACATACAGGTGGTTTTTTTACATACAGATTGCTTGTTTACAATTTTCATTTTAGATTTCGTTCTAATACATCCTAACCGGACATTTAAGACATACCAAGTCTACAGATATACAGTTAGTAACAGAGTCTAAAATGCCAGTATATACATAGATGGGGGGGGGAAGCTGTCCATTGAACGACAGGTTGAGATTTGTACCATTACCGGGGCCAGTTTTGCAATGCTCTCCCCCGAAGGTGCTCTTTAAGAGAGGTTTTGAAGGTAAGTATAGTTTTACTTTCCTTTACAGTTGTGGGAAGAGCGTTCCACCTTGATGTGGCATAATTGCGAAACGTGTATTCCCCCTTTTTTTGTGCCAAATCTGGGTTTCACATGATTTGTGGAGCTCCCTCTGGTGTTATGATCATGGTATTCCTTGACCTTTGGGAAGAATTTTGACATGTACATGGGTACCATAGAGGTGTAGTGGATCTTGTAGACCAGGCCCATTGCAAGTAGCTGTACTCTGTCGTCTACTCTAAGCCATCCTAGGTTGTCAAAGTGGGCAGAGGTGAGGTGGGTTCTAGATGAAAGGTCAAGCAGTAGTCTGACCAGTTTATTTTGCGATGTTTGAAGTTTTATTTTTAGCGCCTTGGAGGTGCTATGGTACCATGACGGGCAAGCATAGTCATAGTACCCTTGAATGAGTGCTCCTGCCAGAGTTTTCAGGGTGTTTTTGTTTACCAGAGAGGAGATCCGGTGTAGGAATCTAGTTCTTTGATTGACTTTTTTTATTACATTGGATGCCGTTTTGTCACAGGAGAGGTTTGCCTCAAGAATAGATCCTAGGTATGTAATTTCCTTCTTACTTGTGACAATAATGTCGCCCACTGCAACTGAGAAGTCGTCGGATTTGCTGAGATTATGTTTCGAACCGAAGAGAATGGACTCTGTTTTACCCAGGTGTAATGACAATTTATTATCGGCGAGCCAGGTGCAGATTCTGCCGAGCTCGGAGCTGAGGGTTTTTTCAACCTGTAACCTGTTCCTGTCAGAGACCAGCAGGGCTGAGTCGTCCGCGAACAGGAACAAGTTGCAGTCACATGCTGATGACATGTCATTTACATAAATTAGGAACAGTAACGGACCTAATATGCTTCCTTGTGGAACACCACAGCTCACTGGGAGGGGGGGGGGACAGAGTACCGTTTACCTCCACCATCTGTTCTCTCCCCTCCAGGTAGGATTGCATCCAGCTCACCGATAGTTTATCAAAACCAATTGCGTTTAGCTTGTCAATCAGAATGGGGTGATTGACAGTGTCGAAAGCCTTTTGTAGGTCCAGCATCACCATGCCGCAGTACTTGCCCTCGTCCACCTCTTGTTTGATGTGGTCGCTCAAATAAAGAAAGCATGTGTCAGTGGAGTGGGATGTTCTAAAGCCAGATTGAAATTCATAGATTAGTTTCTTTTCCGCGAGGTACTTTTCGACCTGTTCATATACTATTTTTTCCATGACTTTCGAGATGGAGGTAAGTATAGAAACAGGGCGGTAGTTGCCTGGGTCCAATTTGCTGCCCTTTTTGTGCAGGGGGGTTACTCTTGCAATTTTGAAGTCTTTGGGTACTTTTCCCTGTTTTATGGAGAGGTTAATTATGTGAGCTATGACTGGTGAGATGGCGGCTGCTGTGTCTCTGAGGAATTTGGAGGGGATATTGTCGTGGCCAGTGGCCTTGTTAGGTTGGAGGGCGCTCAGTTTAATGAGTACCTCTGCTGTTGTTACCCTTGCTAGACTGAAATCATCTTTGCGTACCCCTAGGTTTTTGTAGTAGGTCATGATGTGATCTACTCCAAAAAGCCCTGAGTGGGAGGGTAATTTATTTACCAGAGTTGTGGCTATGTTTGTGAAATGTTCAAGTACTTGGCCACATCCAGTTTGTCTGTGATGAGCCTGTTATCTGTCTTTATGTTTAAGTTAGAAAATCTCGTTTTGAGTTTTTTACTGCAGCCAAGCTGGTTATTGAGTCATTTCCAAAGTTCACGGGGTTTATTTTTGTTTTCCTCAGTTTTGACATTGATGAAATTCTTTTTGGCAGTTTTGATCATGGAGCTTACGTCATTTCTTAGTCTGTTTCTTTCCATTTTTAGTTCAGTCACGTGGGCCTGGAGTTCACTGCTCGTGCTTTTGGAAAGCTTTGACTGACTTTTATGAAACTCAGAGCATTTTTTGTCTCTGGTTTTCATGGCGGTCAGTATGCCGGAGTGCATCCACGGCTCAGCGCGATTTTTTACCCTGGTTGTTCTTAGGGGGGCCAAATCATTGAGTATTGCAGAGAATTTGTTTTTGAAACCAAGCCATGTTTCTTCAACTTGTGTACCACTGAGCTCATCTGACCAGTCCAGGCTCTCCAGTGCTAGGTTAAAGGCCTCGCTAGAGTAGTTTTTGAGGTCTCTAGATATGACTGTTTTGTGACAGCCGGCCCTTTGTTTTAGCTTTTTGCGGGTACAGAATATCATATAATGATCACTTAACCCGCATGCTATAACCCCTTTACTGGAGATCCTGGACTTGTCAGAGGTCAGAATGAGATCAATGGTAGTTTGTGTTGTTTCACATACCCGGGTGGGTTGGGTGATTAGCTGGCTGAAGCCGTGCAGATCACAAATCCTACTGAAGGACTTGAAGACGGACGTGTCTTTACGTTGCATATCCGTGTTCCAGTCTCCAATAATAATTGTCTCTACATCCCCCACATCAGCCAAACACCCATCTAATGTATCATAAAAGTCACTCTGTTCCGGTGGTCTATAGATTGTCCCGACTATTACAGATTTAGCATTGTCAAAAAGAATTTCAACCCACACAGATTCAATATTTTCATGATGCAGGTCAGTACGGTTTTTGAAATTGGTGTCTTTATGTATGTACATGCAGACACCACCTCCATTCACGTTCCTGTCCCTTCTCACTACAAGATAATCTTCAATTTCAATCTCTGAATCTGTAATGGAATTGTCCAATTTGGTCTCAGAAAAGCATAATAATGTCAAGAAAGCAGGCTTTGCTTATAAATATAACGTGCACTTTTTAGAACCTGACCTTAGAAATTCTACATTTAAAAAAGTACTTGTCTTTTAATTAAACCTCTTTTCAAAGGTAATTCATCTTACTGACTACTGCCCACTGTTGTTGCACATTTGACAGTATCTTAAAGGTCGTTGCATGCTAACACATGGTAGGACTGTGCGTGTTGGTGCTCTTGTTATCATGGCATAGCGCCACATTTAACATTATAGTCAATGGGACAATGGACAACATATTTTAGCATAGCATTATGCAAGACTGAAACAGTGTATTTAACGCTGAGTAATTACTGCCCATGGAAAATGTACGTGGACAAATATCGTAACGCTTGCAATACAAATATGTAACGCAGCTTTCATGACATGTGACCGTACACTTTAGGCGTGTGACCTTTCACCGATATGATTCTGAAATATTACGAAACAAGGAAGAAACTCACCACTGTCACTGATTCACAGCCAGAAAGGCGGTTTACAAACAAAATGAGCTACAAGCCAGCGCATGCTAGCTTTCACATATGATGCTAATTGCGGCAACTAGCTACCGTCTATGAAAAAAACAGCAGCCTAACCTTCCTTACTCGGTATGATTATATGGAAACCTATCGACGTGTCACGTTACATGTTTTTCGCCGAATTGACAACGACAATATGAAAATGTATCAGAATATTTATCCGAATGTTGACACATCACGTATTTTACTGGTACACCGATTTCCGTATCACATGGTTTGTGTTTGCACTGTGTAAGCCAATGGGCAGTGACGCTAATGCTAAAGCATCCAATCAAAACCAGTGACCTCAGAAGCAGGCAGTGAAAGCTAAGTGGCTCGACCACAGTATTTGGCTCTGAAATATCGTCGTAGACACATGCAAAGTACGACATTGAATTCACTTGAAACAGGAAAATTGTTTCGTAAGTAATTAAGCGTGTTATCGGTTTCTCAGTAGGTTGTGTATGTAGCAATCAATGCATACTTATGTTCAGATGTCAGAGGCCTGGATGGTGCGGGCTGTGCAGTGGTATGATGGCGTGTGGACTGTGTTTGAAGGAAGACACGAAGTGGATTACTTAGAACGGGACATTAAGATCATACTATTTTCCACTGAATGGGTTCTTGTTAAGACTTACTACCATAATGCTTTGATATACACTTAGTGGCCATTTAAATGAACAAAGTACTTTTACTTTAGAACCATGTAAATACTTCCTCCATCACAGAAGATTCTCAATTGTTGCATGGATCCATAATAATATTTTATTACAACCCCTACGCTGTATAGTAAAATATATATGGGTTTAATTCATCATAAGCATGTAGTTAATGTGTATAAAACATTTGAAAGCTCAACCAAAGTTTACCCTCTGCCTGGCTGCCCTGACTTCAGTCCACAGGTATCATCTGCAACGTTAACTTCCGGTCCTACCTGAATGAAATCCTCTCCGGGTTTTACCTTCGTCCACCCGCTCAGACCTTGTGATTGGTTTTCTGTTTATGTCAGGCGATGGTGCGGGGAGTGTGGGCGGTGCTACGGATGGTTTCCACCAAAAGCAACCCTGTGCTTAAATCAAACGTACCTGGTGCTTCCAGAGTTGTTGCATCTCTGCAAAGACATATCTACACTTCCTGCGTCAGAGCTATTTCAAGGTAAGCTAGTGCTATTTAATGTAGGTTTATAGAAGGCATTGTTTACGTTTGTGAAGAGCAAAGCAAGAGATAAGCCTAAGCTAAGACATGCTGATTGTGCTATTGATAGCTGAGCTACACTAAAGCCTGTCTCAATAGTTCAGATAAATGTCATTGCCTCACATGAAATAAAGTCATGCCAAATTCTTATTTAACAAGCATTGTATTCATGGGTTTGCGTATTAAAGTACACACTTTTACAATAGCAACTCGACGCTTGGGTATATTCTCTTCAATACGGTATACATTACATCAAGGCAAGCTGCATTGACAGCAATATTATTTTAACATGCACATTTCTAACGTAAAACTAAGGCTCACAAGATAAGATATATGGCAGCATGGCATGCTGTATCAAAATATAAGTTTAATAGTTAACGCCCACCTAAAGCAAAGCGCCTGAAATGGTACCATTGCTATTTTTTGTATAAATATTTACATTCTTACTATTTTTGAGTATTTGACGAAATCAACAATATGAAAAGCTTCACTTGGACACTATGAAGTTGATAAGGGCATATAGCATTTTCTGTAAATGTAATGTTAATTGTTATGTATTGCTAACAATATTTTTGCAGAAACCACACCATTAAATATATTTTGCTTTGATTATGTTTTGATTTACTCCCCATTTTAAAATGAGTTCAGTCCTAAACTTGAAAAGCACTCAGAGTCCACTAACTCTTTCTATGAAAACTCCAGAAAAACTAGTGAACAGCAGTTGGATTTGTTGGTCAAGTACTACCTACTTCAGTTACTGAAGGTTCAAGACTGTCACTTTGGAAAATATGCATTAAATGAATGTTTTCTGCACACTGCTCCTCTTCCTGTACAGTGAGGTAAAACCCCTACAGTCAGCTGTCAGAATGCCTGGGATAACCACAGACCACCTGGACGAGAAGCAGGTGAAGCTTCTGGCCGAGATGTGCATCCTCATCGACGAGAACGACCACAAAGTTGGAGCAGACACCAAGAAAAACTGCCACCTGAACGCTAACATTGACAAAGGTACCTGTCTGGACACACCTGTCACGCCTCGAATGCATAACTTGTTTCAAATGTGTACTTGTAGTAAATTGTTTGTCTTTCTAGGTCTATTACACAGAGCTTTCAGCGTGTTCATTTTCAACAGTGAAGAGAAGCTGCTCTTACAACAGAGGTCTGACGCCAAAATCACTTTTCCAGGTCAGTGACAATTGTATACCCCAGTTTAACCATTTCCAAAAATACTCATGGGTGAATATAGCATGGCAAGATGATTAAACACTGATGTTTAACCCTCTCCTGTGTCTGTACGTAGGCTGCTTCACGAACACATGCTGCAGTCACCCTTTACACACAGACAGTGAGCTGGAGGAGAAGGACGCAATTGGAGTGAGGAGAGCAGCTCAGAGGAGACTCGAGGCTGAACTGGGTATCCCCATGGAACAGGTAAACCGCATGTGTTGAAATCCTGACTCCTGAAATACTGGGAGAGGAATCTTTCCTTGCATCTGATCGCCTTTTACTTCCTGTTGCTCCTCAGGTGACACCAGATGAAATGACTTATCTGACGAGGATCCACTACAAAGCCCAGTCAGACGGTGTGTGGGGAGAACATGAGATTGACTACATCCTGTTCATGCAGAAGGTAGCACTGTTCAACTTGGAATTAGGATATCTGGCCCGTCTGTGTAAATTATAGATAACATCTCTTTTTTGTCCTTCTGAAGGATGTGGATTTGAGTCCAGACCCCAATGAGATCAAAACCCACTGCTATGTGAGCAAGGAGGAGCTTCAGGAGATGTTGGAGAAGGCAAAGCGCAAAGAAGTGGAGATCACACCCTGGTTCAGCCTCATCGCAGAGACCTTCCTCTTCAAGTGGTGGGACAACCTGCACAACCTCAAACAGTTCATGGATCACAACAAAATCCACCGCATGTAAATAAATCCACATGGAGCCATAACTTCAGTCATTTCAAACCCTAAAGCTGTGTCACTGGCTATTTGTTGCCATGGTAGTAGCAGGTGAAATACTTTTACACTGAAAAGGTAGAATGTTTGTCATGCTAAATGCCCGAGGAAATGTCGCTTCTGGTAGTCATATGTGCATGTGAACTGATGCAAGTAAAGTGACTCTTAGTCTTAAGGATTTTGAAAAAAATACATCATATAATCCATTCTGAGTAGCTACACTCTGGATTTACAGACTCAACAGAAAGACATTAAACATATGTTATTAGGATGAATAATAAATCCTATCAATGTAGAGAAAAGGCTATTTTTTTTTATACAAGAACTTAAGTGCCTAAGTCCAGGTTATTAGGTTGAGAGCAGTCTAAGTACTGATGGGATGTCTCGGCAACAACTCACTTCTGTATATTGTCAATAATGATTTCACTGAACAAGCTTTGCACTCTTTTACACAATAAAGTGTTTGTGTTCATTGGCAGAAGACGGCTGTGTTTTTGTAATAGGGAGCTGTGAAATGATGGCAAAAGAACACCTTGGTGTCACCCTGTAGAATTGCATTAAAGTGTTAAATAAAATTCAATTTGTATTGTATAAGAGCTGCTTTATTGGGGGGGGGGGTGCACTTTCTGTATGGAAACACTTAAGGCACATCACCTAAAGCTGATACATCAGATGCTTATTTATAGCTTTCATTGTACAACAATTAAATTGTAACAGACAGTTGTGTACTTGACATGCAAAGATTACATTAAGCAGTACTGAATCTAGTTTCCAGGTGGAAATGATTAATACTGAAATGAGATAAAACAGAGTAAATCAAAGGTCGATAGCCATATAGTAGGAAAAGTAAATCCTTACTTGTTAGTCCATGTCAAGGGAACGACCCAATGGTGTCTTTGCTAATCTAAATGTGGAAGTCAAAGTACAAACTGGCATAATGGTCAACTACAATAACTGAGTGATGACTGGCACAATACCTCATAACGAACTACTACTTTTGTAGCGATCACAATATTTCAGTTTCATACTTAAAGGTATAAATAGCTCTGGTTTACACAAGTCTATAACTACAGAGAGTTTGGCATTCATTAGGTAAAACCTCATAGTGCATAGGGAAGCATGTGCATAGAGAACATTAAGGCAATATGTTCTCTATGTGCCAAAACAGCAGCGTCTACATATCTACTTGGCAATACTGTACGTACACGATTATGCTAGTAGTGCAGCAGGCATTTTGCTAATGACATACAAATTATTTGTGATATATTTTACTATCACACCAGTTTCCCATGCATTTGTTGATGCCATAATTAAAAGGTCATCTTAATGCCTTTAACAGCATTATTTTTTGTCTGGTGCTGAAGCCATCAAACGGGCATAAAAGTAAACTGCACTCTCATGATGAATTAAAAAAATATAATGTTTCTGCAATGTGAATGTATTTTGTGTGTGTGGAAAGAAAAAGGTTTAGTTAGGAAAGTGTAGGAAGGAAATTGCCGTTTAAGCTGAAGCTGGGATCTCCTTATAATCTGCAGGAGATGTCTGTTAGTTTCCTTGAAGCATCAGTTGGTCCCTGCCGGGGTCGGTGCAGGGGTCGGTGCAGGACTGGCTTTGGGTGGAGTCAGCTTCATGATATTGAAAAACTCCACCAGCTGACCCGGGACCTCTGCCAACACACTCTTGGCCAGTGCTTCCCGAGGACCCTGAAGTGTAAAAAGAAGAGTTTAAAAAAGTACAGCGAGGTGCACATGGATGAGAAATTTGAATGTATTATGAAGTGATAATTATAACAACTGATTCAATTAAATGAAGGAAGCAGGGATGAGATGAGAAAGTCATGCAGATGAGGAGTTATGTTCCACCCTTTGAAATAATAATTATTAAAGGGTGTCATTTTGCACAGTGACAGCAAAGGCAATACCAGCAGCAATATTGTTTTATCTTGTCCTCTTACTTTTGTCAAGCTTCAACCTAATTCACTTCGGAAATAAGCTGAAGATTCAAACGGTCACGACACATTGATGACCAGTGACTGAGTAGTGTAGTACTACAGAACACATTTTGATGATTGTGGGCTCATTGTGGCTTGCAAACGTGCATTAAACAAACCAGCCATACCAACAGTAGTTTAATTGTGGGATAGGTCTAGAAAGAAGGCCGAGAAAAATCGCACTTTTTTCAAATATCATGCTATTGTTTTAGCACTTTCTCCGCTAGATAGATGACGGAAAACTGTATCCCTAACTGGTGTGTTTTATTGACCTGGAGAGCAGTTTCCGCTTAAATGTAAACAAAAACATGAAACGTGATCTTATCAAGCCAGACAAAAGACAGAAAGTACAACATCATGTATTGTACTGTCTTACTTTAAGCTGACGAATGATCTTTGGCAAAACAGAGGTGAAAATGTTGAAAGGAACACAGCAAAGTAAAAAAAAACAATGGGGATAGCAATCACTACATGTGATGAGTCATGCGGGGAGGCGGTTAATCATGTATGCCAAGCAAAGACTAGGGTGGTGGAGGGTTTTATGACTGAAATATTTGGGGTACCCCTATGAAGGACTAGGATCTCGGGGAGGCTTCAGTTTGAATAAACTGAAGAAGGAGGCCACTTGTTGAGGTAACTCGGCCAATACGCTCTGGGCAAGAGCCTGGCAGGGCGCCTGAAAAGAGATAAATACACAAAGTACACAAAGCTAAGTGAGATCTAGGTGGATGGGCTGGGAATCCCTGGGTTTGTGCATATATACCGGCATTGGATAGGGGAACTATTATATTAGGTTTGGATAGGCAATTTTAGAAGCAAGTTAACTTAAAAATGACGCAGTGAGATGCTTGGAAAAAAGCCTGAAATGCATGCAGTTCTTAAAAGAAATTTCACAAGATAATGTTCTGAAATGTAATGACTAATGTATAGCAATCATTTTTACAAGAGGTGTTGTCACGGTGACTTACCTTTTCGAACTGCCTGTATGGCACAAACTGGACGATGTCTCGCATGGCGGTCTCGCCGGTCTGAGAGCGCAGACGTCCATCGTCTCCATCTAGGAACTCCATGGCAGTGAAGTCCGCCCCCCCTACTCCGATGATGATGATGGACATGGGCAGACGAGAGGCGTTGACGATGGCACTGCGGGTGTCATCCATGTCTGTGATCACTCCGTCAGTGATGATCAGCAGAACGTAGTATTGCTTTGAAAAAAAGATCATTTATTAATTGGCAAGTTTTAAATAAGGACTAAAATGCTTCTTACATTGTCATATGATACGATCAAGATGTTCTAGATGTGTCCCTTCCAGTTTCTTCAAAGGTCAGGAAATGTATTTTAGAAACATCAAACCTGATTTGAGCTGCTGTCAATGGGCGCTATCCACATGCAGTTAGGGCAATGAGACACTCGGAATGCAAGCATGTGACACACCTGAGTAAATATTTAAAACTGACAAGAATGATTATCACTTAGCTCTGGCAACATGTCAAAAGTTAATGATACCTGGAATAAAGGTATCCAGCTATGTTTAAGTACACAACTCAAGGTAGGGCCTCTCCTGAACAGACAAATCTGATGCAATACATTGGATATATATAATGACATCTGAAAATAGCTTCAATGGGCAATCCCTTTTGTTGGGAAAATACTGAATGTACTCTTCTAATATCAGAGTAGTATATAACATGATAACAAAGGCCCTACGTAGCTGTGTACGTAACCGGATGTATGATTACCTAGAAGAGCGTCAGGATCTGTTTTAGGCATGACAGCTATGGGACAACTATTAACATGAAGATTCAGCCTCTATGGAGATAGACATATGACTGTCATGTTTATTGCTTACGCAGGCCTTAGCTAATCTGAACTAAGCATAGAATACTGCTTTTGAACCGGTATTCATGCATCTTGTGACTGTAACACCCTCTCTTGTATATAAAGCATCTGAAGGACACTGTTCTGGGAAGTATTTGTCCCATGCAGCTCTGTATGTGATGACTACTTCCATTCTCTTCCATAATAAACACATGTATTCTGATATTGAAGCTCACGCCGGTGACGAGTGATATTTTTCTTAACACCACATCCATAAACCCCTGTTGCTCCGGTTGAGCTTCTATCAAATCATCCCATTGCATTGTGAACATGATACATGGAGATCTACTTTATCTGTGAAATATGGAGTCTATGTGTGCATGAAGGGCAGTTATACTGGTCATAGAAGCCTTCAGTCATATTACTGATGATGGATGAACAGAAATACTCACTGATGCAGTGGTCTGCTGCAGGGCTTGCTTAGCAAAGCAGGCTACGTGGTTGATGATGGGGAAAAGTTGGTGGGACCGTAGAGTTTGACCTGGGGCAGACACACCCTGTAGGCCTCCACCACACCTTCTATGCCTACACACGCACACACACACACACGAGATTGTCACACTGCAAACTTTTGTATATTAAGCTGCATGTGTTCTGTAGAGTCTAGATAATATTTGTTGTAACATGTCTTACAATCTTTCTACATACCTGTACAAAATGGATTTGACGGGTTGAAATTGAGAGGGAACTCATGGGAAACCTGTTCAAACCCAATATCATCAGATGTTAGTTCACAAGCCTAACTACCATATATCCGATTCAAACTGCATGCAAACAGCTGCTGTGTCTTTTAGGTGCATTTGTAGTTTTTACAATTAAATGCAAGTCTTACCTGCCATGTGGGAGGGATTTGGGCTCCAAAGCCAAATGCAGGAAACATCTTGTCACTACACAGGAATGACAAAAAAACATTAGTACGTGAGTGACAAAATATTTAGGTATATTGCACACAAAGAAATACAATCTACTAGGGAAATATTTGTACACACAATGAAGCACTGCACAGCCAATTCTTTAAAAAAATTGGAAGCCAAGTTGCACAAATAATAATACTGTATGAGGTTTTGAATGTGGGTTTTATGTGTCATATACCTGTCATAGTCCTGGATGACATTGCCCACAGACCAAATGGCAGAGAGGTACTCGTTGACGCCCTGAGGACTGATGTAGTGCAGGGACTGAGGAGACTTGGGATCCCCGTTGGAGCCTGTGAAGTCAATAGCCACCTGCCAAAAGACATGCAGGGTTTGTTTGTGCCATGGTAATACAAGTGTTCTAACGAGAGGCATTGATACACAAGTCAAGACTTACGGTGAAGTTGATTTGACAGCCTCCCATAATGTAATCCAGGAAGGTATACTCCTTCACCACCTAACAGATGGAGATTCATGCTATGAAAGAGCCCATGTATCTCAAAACCAAACTACTTAACTCAGGATGTATCACGTAAGCATTCAACACAAAAAACGGAACTATACCTGGCATAACTTCACGCTCACAACACCAGAGTTCTTGTAGCCTTTCTTCTTCTGTTTCTTTTTACTGTTCATGCATTCAAACTCTGCCTGAGGACAACACACAACAGCAAGGGTGTTATTACCAGTGGGAAGATTGTTTTCATTGTTAATTAATCTGTCCATTACTTTTTCTATTAATTGGTTCGTTTTTAGGTCTTTGAAATGTAAGAAGATGGTGTTTTCAATTGGTGTTTTTCAGAACCCAGGATGAAGCATTCAATGTCTTTACAATCAGAGAATAAAGGGGAAATATTCCAATTTGGTTTTTACATCCAAACAATGTAAACACACATACCGGAGAGGATCGCGATGCTTGTTGGAAGCGTGTCATCGTGGTCTCAAAGGTTCCAATAAGATCATGTGAGCCATCGTTGTCATAGTCATAACACTCAACCTGGAAACAGGTAAAAGCACACAGTGGAGATTAAATCAAATTCAATTCAAATGAAAACAAAGTTAAATAACTTGCATATAGAAAACAAAACACTAAAAAGGGCCTGTTCACCTAAACTAGAAAAAAATGAAGCAGTGTTTACAGTGAGGTCTATGCATTATTATATTATAGTTTTATATATGTTCAAAGACCTCCATTGTATTTGACTGGAGGCAGATCCTAAACATCTGGGCAGATAAAACCAAAATGGTTTATTACATTTTTTTGTAATTTGCGTGAACTGACCCTTTATTGCAACAATTACAAATGTAGAAGTGAAAACATGCAAGTGAGATTGAAAACCTAATTCTAGGTAATATACTAGAGTGAGTGGACAGTAAAATGACTAAAGAAGAATGTGTAGTTTCAGACAAATGTATTATGACACGATCAAGTTGGATGAAGAAATCTTGTAGGGCCAGAGATTTCAGGCGGCATAGTGTATTTTTCACACTCCCTTCTACTCCATTCAACCACATCACCCGTAAAGTGATGGCAAGATGAAGAAAGTCAGAGACTGTAACACACTGGGTAACTCACTTGTAGTGTATAGTTGAAAACAGCCTCCTTCCTGACATGTTTGCTTCAGAAGTTAAAAAATATACATCATGAAACTGAGATGTTCTGAGAGAGCCAACATAAGTTTGCTGTGAAAACTCTTTACATCTTCAAGAAAGCTTGAATTACATCTAGACTATGAAAACATACAGTGCCACTTAACAAAACATTATCAACGGACGCCATAGCAGGGTCAGAAACACACTGCAGATGTGTGAGTTGTTATGTTAGAAAAGCAATTACTTTTATAGGTTTGTCCATGTCTCCTCCACAGAGAGACTGCAGGGAGATTCGAAAGGGTTTCCATGTTGGATTCAAGTTGTTGTTCACCACCTGAGGACAGAATTCATGAAAATTATACAGGTGCCCTATCAGCACACATTTATCAAAGTCCAACTGAAAGCACATTTAACCATCCCTTTTTGAAGTCTAATTTAATGTTCACATGTTTTTAAATGTATTAAATACTTTTTAGTATTAAGAAGAAATGTGCCCCATAATTAGAGGTACACTTTCCCAGGTGCATTGTTGTTAAGCTGTAGAACAAGACAATGGTTCATGTGTTTGAGTCAGTTAAGGAGACTGCAGCATGAAAGCTAATATGGGCTGTGGTTCAGTCTGAGGCTGCTGTATTGTGCAGCATGGTGCTGTCAGATGTGTCCCTGTGTTGCGACCTGGCTCAGAAGGCCACAACAAAAAGGAGATGCAACACATTAACGGGTATAAAAAAGGTGTTTATTTTTGCACAAACACGTCAAAATAGACACTGGGTTTACTCCTCAGAGCCGGTTGCCTGCAGGAGAAAGCAGAGAGCCCCCAGATAGGAGCAGAGAGGCTTTAAATAGCTCTAGGACGACACCAGACCCAGGTGCCCTGAATTACCGCAATCAAGGCAATCACTGGATCCAATGCAGCACAGACGGAACAGCCACACCCTCTCTACTGATGGACCCACAGGGGCATCACACCCTGCTTTTTGCAAATATGGTTTAAACCAAATTATATAGATTTGAATTTAATCATGCTCAAAAATGAGCATGATGAGCACGATTTGGCTTCTCCCTTCATACACAATAACAACATCCAATTTAACATTTATTTTGTAATATAAAAAGTCTCTGTGGTATTGGCAGCGGTTAAGTGAGAGCACAGGAAGAGGGTTACAGAACATTTGAGTTGCGAGGGGGACTTCTTATCATTTCTTCAGTAAGACAGATGTGAGTTTTGCCATTGCAAAGGATGCGAGTGTAACACAGCTATATCACCAGTTGTTCCTCTTTTCATTCAGACAGCAATGAATGAAACCTCATAAATGGGAGTTTAACCGACCATGTAATACAAACTGTTTATCTTCATAGAGTTGTACTATCCCCTTCTGGGAAAGGGGCCGATTTATTTATGACAGGAAAGAAATCAAACATTGATATCAGAATACTGTGTATACCTCGGTCCTGTGAGCCAGCTGCCATCCAGTTGCCGTCTGCTTGTAGAATTCCAGGTAAGGGTCGGACTTCCCAAAGAAATCCTGGAAATTATGAAAGTAATGAGACACATCAATTAGAAAAATGCACTAAAATGTGTAAAAAAAGAATGCAGGCATTTCTTTTTTTCAGCAAGGCAAGGCAATTTTATTTATATAGCACTTTTCAGCACGTGGCGATTCAAAGTGCTTGAGCAAGAATCACACTCACCTTGTTATCAAGTTTTCTTGCTTCAACTTCAAAATTGGCCACCCTGTTATCTTTGATTTCTTCTGCACTGATCTACAGCACAATAACGAACCAATTAAATAACAGAAGGAAAGAATTGCAATATTTATTTGTAGCTCTCTCCAACACTCACTGTGATGGTCCCTTTTCCTGCAGGGGATTTTTTCTTCAAGAGAAGGGGTCGGGTCAGTTTTTTACTGGACACAACCTAAAAAAACAAGAAGTAGAGGTAAAAGAGGAAGCAGCAGTTGAAATAGGGTAGTAATCAAAACAGCAGCCTCCAGGTGATGAGGCACACCACATCCAAAACAAACTGGCAGAACACACATCTGGGGTCGTGTTACACAGAAAGCCTACACAGCCTCTCTGCTTATCAGAGATGGTAAATATTGATGTGCATCATAGCTCTTATATGTTATCCTACCACTCATAAACCTATGTGCCTGATAGGATTGTGAAGTCAGTTTATCAACAACCCTTTTACTGTTGGTAACTTAGAATCAGAAATGTCCAAATTAAAATTAAAAGTGAAAGTATTCATCTCTTTTGAAGCTCAAGGATGACTTACATACATGTAGTGTGAAGAAAAAGAGCCAAAAGCCTCACCTGGCCCAGCGTACACTCCAGTTCCCCCAGGAAGTCGTCGTCACTCAGGTCGATAGTTTTGTTGTCGATGTCATAAATCCCAAACTTCAGTTTCTGCACTATTTCAAAGTAGTAGTCGATGACAAACTTTTTTGCAAACTTTGGGCACAGGCAATTCTGGACTTGCTCAGTGCGTCCCACCTGTTAGGAAACGTTGGATTGCAACTGTCATGCATACATTTCAAGAGATCCAAATGTCAAAAAATAAGGATGTATTGGCACATATGCACTGACGAAACAGGAAATGGATGAGTGAATACTTCTTTACTCAACACTACATTTTCCATTGGGGGGTTAACCATTAACACTGCTATGTGATTTTCTGTTGCAATAGTACTAACTGCCTCACCTAGGTAAAATGAATTAGGTTAAAAACCTTTCAATTAAACCAGACGATTTTCATAGGAATACAATTTTGCCTTTCATAATAATACATGGTTTTTAATATTGAGTGTTATGTTTGAGATTCAGACCCAATGACATTTTTACAACAGTTCAATAATATAAACAATAAATCTGAAGCTCACTGATATAAAATCAATCCAGATTCAGGCATCCTACTGACCTCATACCACTGGGAGTCAGTGCTGCTCATCAACAGGGAACACATGGGGTCAGACTTTGAGCCGATGTCCTTGTCCAGAAGATTCTCACAGGACACAGTCAGCTCCACCTTGGTTACACATTGAGTAGCAGCCATGTCTGCCTGGTAATGAGCTGGAGAAGCAACACAGACATGAAGGGACATAACAGTGTGGACATAACATATTCAAACGTATTATTTAGGCTTGTTTACGCACACACTTAATGGTATGAATTGTGAAGATGCTAGTCAGGATTAGTTAGCCCTGTGAGGTTGGCATGCAGTTGGTTATTTTTACAAATGTGTGCAATTCGCAATGACGCTACTACGATGAGGTACGTTATAATTCGTTGTAATGGCTGTCAACAGTTAGCTTTACCCAATGCTACGCTTCAAACATGTAATATAGAGAAGAGCTAGCGTGATACAAAATATACAAAAGGGTGGTGCCTCATTCAGACATTTTCGAGTGAACCAGTAACGCCAACAACAAGTAACGTATTGTGGAAAATGTGACACATAATGACGTTCAACGTTAGCCGGTAGGGAGCATAAGAGCAAAGGAGAAAGTGCAACAGCTAACCTTAGCAAGCTAACTTGGCTAGTATCTAAAATGCTTATTGGTAAATTGGACACTACTTTGGTCAGCACATTACATTCCGCAGACAAGTAAATTCAAACGTACCGTTAGATGTGAAGCGTTGCAGGTCTCACAGAAGAGAGAGGTGGTGTTTATGTCTAGATATTAAAGCTAGTTTACGGTTAGCAGGGTGGTGTCGCCCTTTCCAATGTTAAAGTATCACCAATACGTTTAACATTAGATCCTCTGTAGCTGCTCCGCCTTCAACATGCAAAGCAATACGCCCAACGACACAGCACAACACTCCTGTAACAACAACTCAGACAGTCATGCCGCGATTGTACACTTCCTGACTCTCAGTTTTATCGGATTCTGTTTTAAATTATCTGACTCTTTTTAATTGAAAGTTGTCATGGATCCGTGATCTGGTCCACATGGGTACAATCCTGAAAGTTCTGCCTACTGTTGTGGTCACAGTCAGTCACACTGCGAATCTGTATGTCTATTTTGTAAGTTTTATTTTGAAGTAATAACCTGAAAACCGGAAGTGTGGTAAATGATCAGATTGGTTATCTTTAAAAATAGTATAATAAAAATAAAACCAGTTTTAGTGCAGTTAACTACGATGTATTTGAAATACTAACTGCCTGCCTGTACTACTACTAACAGTACTAACACTTCCAATAACACGTATTCTTATGATGTTCCGATATAATCACTTAAGAATGCACAACATTGATTAGGAATATGATTCACTACTTAGTGAAAATACAATATTTATTTTATGTCATGACATGAAGGCAGTAGCACCAAAAAAGTTCAAATTTTCAAATGTACATAAAATATTTTGCTTTGCTTTCTGTTATATAGATTGAATTAGATCTTCTTTCATGCTTTGCAAATCATATTTACACACAATCATAGTAAACTCGTAAAATATGTAACACATATTAAATATCAGTCAGTATCAAATACACATACATTAAGTGAAATCAGGCCTTATTTATAACAGTCAGTTAAGTTAAGACATGGTGAACTTCTGGTTTAAATCAGTGTGAACATGCATTTATCAAATTAAGCTTTTTCTAATGATTGAATCACTCATAGGGATTCTTCTCGATTAACATTCACATCACCTAATATTATGTAAAAAAAAGAAACTGAATGAAGAACAAAACAGTAGCAAGGACAGGTTTTTGTAGAGTAAAGTCTACAAAAGGTGTCTGTTTAGGCAAACGCATTAGTCCATTATATATGGATCAATCATGTAAACATTGTTGCATTGTGTTAATAGTACGGCTTTGTCCAAGATTGGTGATTTCAATTGAAATATGCCTTATTTTGCAGGGAAACATGAAAGTGGTCATTGTAAACTATTTGAAAATATGAAAGAAATATTAGCAGAAACAAGGAGAACACATGAATTACTCTAGCCCTTTCATGTAGACGTTCTACATTGTATGTGGACTAATGAGATAACTGGTCAAAGCTAACTTGGTTATTACACAAAAACCAAAGACATTCAGTCAAGTCACACTAGTTTCAATGAATGCCTTAACGATGGTGCAGAACAACCAAATAAAAAATGACTTTAAATCTTAAAAATCCTGGCACTTGTGTCACATTAAGTCTTATGTTATATTAACAATAAATCTGTGTTAAGTACATGTTAAAAAACATTTAAGAAATGGTATACCATATCAGTGTATAATGGCTTTATATTATTAGTGCATACAAGTATTTACAAATCATACCATGAGTCCCAGACTTGATGGTGCATGCTCATGTAGTATATTGAGAATACATCACGGGGGGGGTGCTGATGCTGCGGGGTCAGGGAGAGGTGTGTCTCCTTGAGGTGGTCTCAATCTCACGCTGTTGAAGAAGCTCACCACCTGACCCGGGACTTCTGCCAAGACGCTCTGAGCCAGCATTTCCTGAGGAGCCTAAAGAGAGGGAGTAGAGAGAGAATTACGAGGAGTCAGTAGCAGGGGAAACAGCTGAAGCAACCAAAGAAGGGAAGCAGCGGGGGTGCGGAGATGTGCCACAGAGGTCAGAGGAATACATTATTTTGATGAAAATGTAAGTTTAATCAGTATATGAGTATACAAATAACTGTGGCACATTGGTAGAAGCTTTAAAAACAACATTTAACTCTAAATGTCGTGCATATATAAAAAAAATGTAAGCAACAAAATGCGATAATCCTGCAATACTTGGTTATGCTAGTGATGTTAGGTGACTGAAGTAGTTACTGTACAGATTATCAACATACTTCCCACAACATATAAATGGTATGGTATGAATGCTGGTCTTTAAGCAAATAAAGCTTTGGTATGACATCATTTGAAATATGTAATATTACATTAGATGAGATCATATGTGCTTATATCTGAACACTAGGGATACGGCTCGTTAGTTTAGCGTAAGACAAAAACAGCAGACGGGGAAACAGCTTGTATCTCATGTTTATGTTATATTAGGGCTGTATTGGATAGTTCAGAGCTTCATTTATAACAGTCTACTGTCAGCTGTTGTGAGCAAAGCGAAGCACGCTCCTGTATAAACTAAGGATCATAACAAATGACGACAGACAAAAAGAAAAGTACATATGGTACAGTCCCATCGTATATCGCTTTTTTTTTATGCATCTAAAAAACAACATGTAAATTAACCATTTAAAGGTTGTATGGAGCATTATGTGCCTTGTAAAATCTCAAAGCTCAGGCACTGAGCAGTTGCCAGGACCACAGTGGAGAGACTCCAGGAAATTTCTGCTCACTCCCTCACAAAAAAAGCCCTGTAAGAGCACTTTTCAGCTAGAGTTTTCAGCAGTCCACACCCTGCAGTACGTGATGACATAATGTCCCATATACTGTGAATGGAAAGGTTATAAAAACAGTGGAATAAACAGCTTGGTGAATTAAGCTAACTAGGTTATAGAACTATGCTTCTAGTGTTATACATGCAGCTTTGAACTAATGCGTGGAAGAAGAATGGACAAAGGGTAAGTGAAACGCTGTGGGTGCTCCTACATTTCTACGAGGGAGTGGGCTCGCTGGGGGGCTTCAGGTCAAATTTATTGAAGAAGGAGGCCACTTGGTCAGGCAACTCTGCCAGTACACTTTGGGAAAGGGCTGCAGTGCCTGCCTGAAATAAGATATTTAGACACGTTGTTTAATGATTTTAAAGAAGCTAATGTGCCTACAAAGACTTTGCTCTATGAGATAGCTTACATTTTGGAACTGTCTGAATGGCACAAACTGCACGATGTCCCGCATGGCAGTCTCGCCTGTAGGACAGCGTAAAACTCCATCGTCTCCATCGAGGAACTCCATGGCACTGAAGTCCGCCCCACCTACTCCGACGATGATGATGGACATGGGCAGACGAGAGGCGTTGACGACGGCTCTGAGAGTCTGGTCCATGTCTGTGATCACTCCGTCAGTGATGATCAGCAGCACAAAGTATTGCTGTGGATTATTGACATAAAAGGAACAAAACAAGAGTTATATTTAAAAAGGGAAGGGGTTTTCACCTAGTATTGTGTGGAAAAGAACAACTGATTGAGACTGTGTCATCCCGTGCTAGATTTGCATACAAAAGCCATCATTTTGGCAGATATTAGACTCCCAGCGACTCACAGAGGCAGTTTCCTGCTGCATGGCCTGCTTGCCAAACTGGGCCACATGGTTGATGATGGGGGAAAAGTTTGTGGGACCGTAAAGCTTCACCTGGGGGAGGCAATACTGGTAGGCTTTGACCACACCTTCTATGCCTGGAAAAAAAAACACAAATACAGATCTTAGAGCATTATTTTATATATATATTTCCATGTAACTTAGCATGATTGGAAATAGATAGCACTCAGCAACATGAAGTAAATGTATGGGCCGAAGGAAAACTGCAGAGCAAATCAAGTTTCTGTACAAAGTGATTGGATGGTGCAAATACATTTTGAATTAACTTTATTTGTTTGCAAAATGTTCTCCTGATTATCAGTCAGTGCTTCAAACATCAAACACCAAACTCTCCAACAAATGCTCTCATGTCGTACTGCGCCACACTATTTCTGAGAAAAGCAAAATATGCATGTCCTGTTATCTAAAGACTCTTTATTATTACCTGCACAGAATGGGTTTTCTGGGTTGAAGTTAATGGGAAACTCGTGGCTGACCTGGAAACACAAACAACCGGGTTCAATATTACATGTTTTGGTCTGCCGGCCAAGACATATTCCACTCAATTGGTTAACATTTAATTATTTGGGCGGATGAGGATTTCAAATCTAACCAGCATTTTGTAAATGATGCTAGTTTTGTACCATGCAATCAATTATAAGGCTGGATCCAGCACCAACGTTTTACATACATCCAAGACACGCTTTGTCATGTATAAAGAAATTAAATTATGACATGGAACTAATATTCAAGCAAGTTGTAACCCAAACAAATAATCACCTGCCACCTAGGAGGAAGCTGGGCTCCAAATCCGAAAGCTGGGAACATCTTGTCACTACAGGAAGTGAAACACAACAAAGGATTAGACTCGAGCCGCAGACTTTCAATGTTAATGTTCCTCAAAGCTCCATTCAGCCATGACGGAAAATAAGGGATGTACACGCTATATCCATGCCCTATATACTATATATATAACAATCTATGTACCTGTCATAGTCCTGGATGACATTACCCACTGCCCAGATAGCTGCCAGGTACTCATTATAGCCCTGAGGGTTGATGTAATGGAGGGACTGAGCGGAGCTGGGATCCCCGTTGGAGCCTGTGAAGTCAATCGCAATCTGGACATGGGTGGATGGAAAAAAACACAGACTCGTAAAAATGTAGATAATGTTATCACAACATCATAATTATTGTTTCCTAAACACATTAAATCCTCAATATGAACGGTACAAACAACATATAATGCAAATATCAGGGATAGTTTTTTTTTGTAGGATTCAAAAACATGTGTAGTACTCACAGTGAAGTTAATCTGACAGCCGCCCATTATGTAATCCAGAAAGGTATACTCCTTCACTATCTGTAAAGACATTTTAGAAACAAAATAGTATTTACCTGTTCATAAAATGTATATCACAACTTATATGATCAGCTACAGCATTGCAGTACTGTTAATATGCCGTTTACCTTTATTAAAAGGTACAACATGTATAAAAGTATTTTACAATTCTGTATATACAATGTTTTAGATATACTGTACATGGCTCAGTTTTAAGTAATCTCAACCACTTTTATTCTTGCAAATTCCTTTAGATGGAGTACGCATATACTAAACAAATGAAAGTATTGGTTACGTAATAAAAAATCTATTTAAAACCAAAATACCTTGCATTTTTTAACAACGATAACACCAGAGTTTTTGTATCCTTTCTTCTTCTGTTTCTTCTTACTGTTGATGCATTCAAACTCGGCCTGAGAAGAGAACAAACACACAATATCAAGTGTCAAAATGTTTAAGGGGGACTCTTTTTTTTTATGAATGCATCCAATAAGTTCCAAAACACCAAGAAAGAGCGAGAGACCTCACCGCATATGTTTGTGATCCCTGCTGTATTTGGGCGAGCGTTGTCTCAAAACATCCAATAAAGTCATGAGATCCGTTGTTGTTGTAGTCATAACAATCCACCTGAGAGAGACAGACAGTTAGGAGAAACAAGACAAATCCAGTCAATTCTCTTGAGCAAACATTTGTATTTTACTTATTTAACTATCATCCGTGTGTGAACATCAAAGCAGATGAGACAGAAGCATGCTTTGGGGGTGAAGCTACAGATGTAACACAACACCCTGATATTGATAAATCTAAGAGAAACACACGCAAGCCTTTTACTGGAAGGGGAACTACCTTTTAGAATGAGACACAGTGGTGATTTCATTGTTGAGGAAACACAGGTGAAGACACAGCATGGAGCAACAAACTGTGTGATGCTACAGTCAGTCTACAGGGTGGATATCTAAGAAAGCTCATGAATAAGAAAAAAAGGTATCTATCTTTACGGAAAATCTGTTGGTCGTCTTACCTGTGAATACATCATTATCAGGTTATTTAAATTAGTATGCTATATGTTAGTAGGCCACTAGCACTTGTGGTTATATATACAATTCATATCCTTTGACATACAAATATATTCAATATTAAATACCTGATTTATTCCATCATGATAAAAAAAATACGAGATCTATGTAGAAAGGCAAATTAGCAAACTCATAATACCTATTCAGCGCCTTGGATTTTGTTCTATTTTGACTTAAAATGTAGCTTTATACATACTTTAAGTTCTTATTCGGTCCCTTCTGAGTTCATGCTAGTGCCCCATTGTCTGACAAAAGTCAATGTTCAACCAGTGACTCACTTTACTCGCATCATTCAACAGGTAAGTTGACCAACAAGCCAAACTCCTCAAGTTTGTAAGATAGATACTAGAGTGTAAAGGTCTTTGTCCTGTCACAGACACTGCATCCTACACGTGAAGCACTCACGCTGGAGACAGTAAACTCACTTTCACCGTAGACTGGGAAGCAGCTCTTCCAGACAAGTGTGCTTTTAGAGGGTTAGAGATTGGAAACAAAACACAAAATACATAAACTAATGCTAAAAAAAACATGTCCTTATCTAGACAATGAAGGAAACATAGCCGGGGGGTTCTATTGTGGTATTGATTCAGTCTTTTGGTGATCTTACAGAACAAAATTAAATTCCATTAGTGATCAAAAATGTTTGTTTTTCCTTGTTGACGTTCAGTGGAGCTGAAAAAACACATCATATATACATTTTTGAAATAGGCTTGACCTGCTATAGGTGTATTACGACAACTGTGATATTTAAAAAATGAAAATTGGATAACACATAATAAATAACAATTTCTATAACAAATTATAATTTATTCAGGAAAGCTAATCCATCACTGAATGAAAAACTGATATTACGCCAGCATGAAAGACTGACCGTAGATAAAGGCTGCCGTGTCATCATTCACAATTCCCTACAGTCAAAGTGTATGCGAGTGTGTGTGTACCTTTATAGGTCTCTCCACATCGCCTCCACAAAGGGCCGGAAGCGGGATGCGGAAGGGTCTCCATGTTGGGTTCAGGGTGTTTTTCACCACCTGCATGACAGTACAGATTAAAAAAACACTCTGAAAGGTGACATGCATTAACTGTATAAACTCCAAACTGTCAATACACATTCTGGTTATGACTTTATGCGCCCATGCACTGCCCAGGAATCCTTGGGCATGATATATAGTAATAATGTAAAGCATGCTACACAGCGAGTATATCTGTACCTCTGTCCTGTGAGCGAGCTGCCATCCAGTTTCTGTCTGTTTGTGGAATTCCAGGAAAGGGTCGGATTTGCCAAAGAAATCCTGGAAATAAGTAAGAAAATAATAGGAGGTTAAAATAAATAAATGACCCAATAATACTCAGTGTTGGGGAGCACTATATCAACGTGTTTCACACTAGATGGATGAATAATGCATCCGGCTTTATAAAGCTTTCAGCAATAACCTTATGGTCATTTCAACATTTTTAACTCCAGTAGGTTCATATACAATATTTGAAACATGATTCCAAAGCAATCAATACCTTTTTGTCCAGTTTTCTACCTTCAGCTTCAAAATCCACCACCCTGTTGTCTGTTCGTTCTTCAGCACATATCTACAAAACATGCAACAGCATTGTGTTACAAATACCGCATAAGACAATTATGACAGTTGACTTATTGACAATTGAAATCCAATACGACTCACAGTGATGGTCCCTTTCCCTGCAGGTCTCTTGTCCTTATGGACAAGTGGTCTTGTTAGATTTCTTGAGGATACAACCTGGACAGAAACACCCTTTTCTGAATCACACAATCACTGGATATGTCACAGCCTCAACACCCATCTAAAATAATAATTCAACAGAAAAAGAATAAGGCAAATGTGCTAACCTGTCCCATGGTGCACTCCAGTTCTCCCAGGAAGTCTGCATCTTGCAGACTGCAGTTTTCGCTGTCAATGTCGTACATTTCAAACCTCAGCTTCTGCACCATCTCAAAGTAGTAGTCGACGACAAAACTCTTGGAAAACTTTGGATTTAAGCAGTTCATGATTCTCTCTGTCCGGCCAATCTAAACAGAAACAAAAGATAAAAAATATCTTTTTTATACAGAATCAGAAACTCTTTTGACTCGCAGCAGGTGCTGACATGTCCAAAATGACAGCAAATAGATCCATAAGAATGAGGATATTTCTTGAAGTTTTAGATCAACTTTTTAAACACGCTTACCTCACACCAGTGAGGCCCTGAGGAGTTCATGAGGAGCACACACAGAGGGTCAGACTTTGAGAATGCATCCATGTCGAGCAGATTCTCACAGGAAATGCTCAGTGCCACTTTGGTCACACATTCAGGGACCTTTGGCCCTGGGGATCCAACTGCTGCCATGACAGCCTGGAAGAAACACACACACAAACTGACACACAGAAACAAATCTTTAAAAAACTGAAGGGAAACATTTTTGCCACACCCAGTCATTCAAGTTATGACTGACTTATACTGAGAGCAGTAGCAATATGCATGTTGTGTAACACTTGCTTCATCCTCCTGTTTATCTAGCTGCCTTTAATACTTTTAGATTGTCAAATACAGTTTCCTTGGTTGGCAGATACAGCCTACGAAGAGGACCAAGCAAACACACCAAACTGCATCAAAATCCATGTTATCCATTGGTTTATCAATAGATATGTGTAGCAACATTTCATAGAAGTCATGTAATGATTAATTACGTTTGTATAGTTAATTCGGCCAACACATTTCATTAAATGTAGGATGTATCAAACGCTAAACGGAGTGCCATCCAGCGGTGAGGTAACGTTCATCTGGCTCTCGGGTGGATGATACTGTCCCATAAGGGGCTAGCTAGAGTTAGCTGAAGCTTGTATTGGATACATTAACAATTAGAGTCAAACACTCATCTTTGTCATAATGTGGTCTGTTAATGACAAAGCCATCTTAGCAACGTTAAGGTAACTTAAGGTAACGTTAATGGGACAGAAAATAACGGACCGTGCTGTAGGAGCTTTTACCAATGTAAGCTAACGTCAACGTTACATCGGCGGATGATTCGAAATATATTTATCCACGTTTATTGCTGTTAAAATACATGTATGTAAACTGTTATTAAGGAGTAGGCTATCTTACTTGACTTTAACGAGTTGACGCCTATTTGCTTTGAGCTAACGTTAAATGTCAGATGATACTTATAAAAGTAACTAAAAAAAGGCAACGTTAACGTACGCCTATCTCCAGTAAATAACCAAACTAACTTAAAACCTAGCGTTATATTTATTTTGACAGTTAAAACAGAATAATGTCAATAGTAGTTTAACTTTGTATGTCTTACCTTGTTAGCTACATACGCTAGCTGTGGGCTGTGGTTTGCTGTTGGCAGAAATGACAGGAGGAATAGGAGCTGGTTGTGGTGGGCGGGGCCCGTGCGCTCGTTTCCAGTTAGAGGGACACCCGTCCCTCACCCTACCCTACTAGCCATATTCATACCTGATATCATTACACTGGACAAATAAGACATACCTCTTTCATTGTGTTTTAGGGCTTCTTGTGAATATATAATTTTGTATTGGATTCTTTTTCAGTCAAAATCTCTTCAAAGGTTTTCAATAGCTTGCATATCATGATTCATGATTCATGACACCAAATGACTCCAGGTCATTGGGGAATTGTACACACTGGAAAAGTACAAGCATGTTTTCCCCAATGTTTCCAACAACTTTCTCAAAAAATCTGTCAATTTAATCTGGTTGCCTTTAATTGAGACGTATCCCCTTTGGACATGTGTCAGTGGTGTGGTTGTCTACCATAAACTGTCATAAACGTATGTATTATCTCATTTGTAGCCACATATTTCCATTACAAGTGACATGTTTGAGGTTAATTATGAATACGTTGGTCAATTCTTTCATCCATGTTCACTTCTTGGCATTTATTTGCAACAATCCATAAAGGAATCCAAGAAAGAGGTTGCAGGACATACAGATAAGTAGTACATAGGATTTATTTGGGTTACTTTAACAAACCTTTCTAAGACGGCTCAGAAACACTGGATACATAAGGGGGTTTCAACTTGAATAAATTGAAGAAAGAGGACACTTGATCGGGCAGCTCGGCCAGGACACTCAGAGCAAGGGCCGCGCTGTTTTCCTGCAATGGCAATGTTAGAAAAATAAAAGAGAGTCTTAGCCAGGTTTGGGAGAAACTAGTTGACATTGAAGTGGGCATGTGTCTGTGATAGTCCTTTCATCAAGTCATGTTGCTTACTTGGAAATCTCTGAAGGGCACAAACTGCACAATGTCCCTTGTGGCGACAAGACCTCTGGGTGAACACAGCAATACATCATCACTGTCGAGGAACTCCATTTCGCCAAAGTCTGCCCCCCCCCACGCCCACTATGATGATGGACATGGGGAGACGAGAAGCATTGACAATAGCCGTGCATGTCTGGTCCATGTCTGTGATCACTCCATCTGTGATAATGAGCAGCACGAAGTACTGCTGCAGATGGGGTGAGAAAATATTTCAAACAATGTCAGATATTAAGAATACACAGACCATATCATTTCTTGTTGGGATGTGATCTTAAAATTATCTTATGCCTAGTTTGTTTGAGAAACGTATAACTTACTGAGGCCACATTCTGCTGTAGAGCTTGTCTGGCGAAACAGGCCGCATGGTTGATAATCGGAGCGAAGTTTGTGGGGCCCGAGAGCTTCAGCTGGGGTAGACACTGTCGGTAAGCCTGCACCACACCCTCTATTCCTGTAACACACACACACACACACTAATATTACTGAACAACTTTAAACAACCGAAAACGATCTTGTGTTGTGACCAAGTTCAACTTACCCACACAGAATGGATTTGATGGATTGAAATTGATAGGAAACTCATGGGAAACCTGTAAACATAATAGATGGATTGCATTTTTTTGTTTTGATTTTGACAATTAAAAGATGCCAGTCAGGAAAACACTGTCACATTATTGTCCTTTTATTAATGATTTCATGTAGATTTACAGTGTACAATAATGTAATGGGTTACACAGCTTGAATCCCAAAGTCACTCTCACAAATGTGGCCCTTGAACTGATTTTGCAGTTCATAAAGTATACAATTAGACATAGATAACTGGACATGCTGCTCATGCTATGCAAAGGTATTTAAATTAAATCTTTCTTAACTAGTGTTAGTAGACCATGTTGAGACAACAATTTGAAGAGCTTCAGGTGGTGAAACAGCCATTAATGCTATACACGTGAAATTGTGCTTGTCCACAGCATGAGCTTGAATTATGTCCAAAGTCAAGATAAGATTTTTAAAGTATTTTAGATTTTCTTTTCTTACGCGCTGAGAGAAAGGTAGCTCGGCTCCAAAACCAAAGACAGGAAACATCTTGTTGCTACAAAGACAGACAGGAAAATACAGGTGTGATAATGCATGTTAAACAGGGAACATCATTCAGTAGGTTAAAGTTATACTAATTAAATCCTGTAAAGTATGATCATTGTAAGCAAGATAGAAATGTTCAAATCACAATTAAAAAAAAAGTTGATATACATTAGATTTAAATGGCTTAACGTTTGCTCTTACCTGTCGTAGTCCTGGATGACATTCCCCACCGCCCAGATGGCTTTCAGGTATTCATTATATCCCTCAGGGTTGATAAAGTGGAGGGAATTGGGAACGTTGGGATTCCCGTTAGAGGCTGTGAAGTCAATGGCAATCTGTCCGGGGTACGACAGAGGATAAGGATCGTGATATGAAGAGCCGTATATCTATTATCTACACGGTATACCAGGTATAGTACTTGCTACCTTGAAGTAAATGTAGGCCCATCCAAGTCTTATCAAATCAAATAATTAATTTGACTGATAAGACAGAACAAAAATACCATTATCAGAATCTCTACCCAAGGCTTTGCCTTGCAAATTAGCGCCAAATGTATCTCACAAGTCAATCAGATCAGGCCTTCAAGAGACAGGCCCTTAAACGGAGCGTTTCAGACCAAGGGTGAATACAGGCATACTCAGATAGACATTATGGGAACAATCATGTGTTTGTTTTTTTAGCATTAGCACTTTTAAACATGTGCTAGAAGAAACCCTAAATACAAGTATGAACATTAAATTGAGCATAATGTTTCCTTTAAAGAAACAACATCTTGTGACTGACATTTGCAAACTCACAGTGAAGTTGATTTGACAACCCCCCATGATATAATCCAGGAAGGTATACTGCTTATCCACCTGAAAAGGAAAAACAGTGATGCAATACAAAAACAAGAGTGGTAATAAATGTATGTATTTCTAGTTGTGACCTTAAAATGTACAGTGAGTGAGAAAATATACTGAAATCAATATGTCCTTATTTATAAATCATCACCTGGCAGTTGTTGATGCAAATGATCCCGGAGTTTTTATAGTTCCTCTTCTTTGACTTTTTTGGATGAGTGCACTCAAATTCAGCCTGCAAGTAGGAACACCAGTGGTATTTATGGCGGTTAAAATAAACAACAGGTATTTTTTGGTGAATCAAACACACTAACACAGAAGTCTTACCGCAGAAATGCGTGTTGCAATTTGCATCTCAGCTAGTGTTGCTGTAAAGCTGCCGATGAGCTGATGGGAGCCGTTGACGTGGTGGTCATAACAATCCACCTAATGACAAACAAAGAGATTTCCAGTAAAAAAACAAAAGCCACTCCACGAAAATTAAAAACGAATAGGCAGCAGTCCTAGTGCTTAGTGTAAGGGAAACTTCTGTGTAGCAGCAATGCAGTGGGAGTCACCGACTCAGGAAAGAGACACGGGAAGAGCAGGAGCTTTGATGTCAAACACTGATGGTTTATTTGGAGCTTCGGCCGGAGAATTCACATCACAAGTCACAGCAGTCACGATCTGACTGCACGGGAGAGTTTCCACGTCAATTCTGAAGAACTCTACCCCAGACCCATGTATTTAGCTAGTTCCGAGAGCATCATCAACATGCTGCATAACAAGATAAAATCATAACACCTCTATCAGCTGACGCCAACAGGCAGGAACATAGAATCATAACACCTCTATCAGCTGACGCCAACAGGCAGGAACATAGAATCATAACACCTCTATCAGCTGACGCCAACAGGCAGGAACAGGGAGACAAAACACTGAGAGCACAGCAGCCAAAGTTACGAGGTGCGTGTGCTCAGTCAGGACAGTTTGAACTGATAAACTGGGTCAAAGTTATGGGCCTTGGAAAATATTCCCCAACACTTAGCAACATTTGTATTATATGGGATGTAGATAGCAAATCTTTCTTTAGACTACTACTGTTTACTACAATAGAAAGTGTCTCTTGTCATAGAATTGTTTCATACCTCACATGCAAAACATAGCATTAGCATAGCATTTCACTCTTGGTTATCAATGTTAGAAATAAATGCCTTTGGAGTAACTCAAATTAGTTCAGATAATATAGCAAAATGCACACCTTTGGGTGGAGACGTCATGAATCGTGCGTACACACACATACCACTTATCCAGCTGGGTCGCCGCATGTTGTAATTATGGGAGCATTGTAAGATGAAAAAAAAAATGCAATTACAAGATTAGTATGTTAAAAGGACCATGTGCAACAAGCTGACCTTTTTTAAATAAAAAAAGGACAAAAAAATCTACTGAGAATACACATTTTGCTAACGGGTTGCATATTCTCAAGCTTACAAACTCCAAGCATTCCAAGTGCACGACACCAACAAATGAAATGCTACTCTTCTTTGGCAGGTATTTTATGTTTTTTTTTATATTTCTTATTTCCTTTTTGAGTAACAAAGTATCTGACATGTAGCAGTATTGACTGAAATGGAAAATCAAATTACCCTTATAGCTCTCTCCACATCTCCTCCACAGAGGGATAGCAATGAGATGGTGAAGGGTCTCCAGACTGGGTTTTGCTTGTTTTTGACCACCTACATGAACGGGTTAAAAAGAGCCAAAGGTCAGTAAGGACTCTATGCAATCAGATAAATTGAGTTTGAGATAAGTGTGTACCTCTGTTCTGTAAGCCAACTGCCACCCAGTTTTTGTCTGCTTGTAGAATTCCAGGAAAGGGTCGGACCACCACAAAAACTAGACAATAATATCCAAAGATAGTTTTGAAATAATATGTAAAATAAATAACGTCAGACTTTTTAAAATGACCTCCATTACCTTTTTGTCTAACCTGTGAGCCGACACCTCAAAGTTTGCCACTCTGTTGTCTATTATTTCTTCAGCACAAATCTATTAATAAAAAGATACCACACATGAAAAGACAATTGGAGTTTTGTGCATAAAACATCAGTGAGAAACTTTTCTGAAAGGGAGAGCCTCAATCGCAGCTAAGGCACTGCATATCATTTCTAATGAGCAAAGAGTCCACTCACTGTGATGGTCCCATGACCTGCAGGTCTCTTGTCATTCAGCAGTAAAGGTCGGGTCATCTGCCTGCTTGAAACAATCTGGACACAAAATACCGCCAGTATCACAGATAAGAACATTACAAATCTGGCAGAACATCACAGTACACAGTGACTCTCACCTGACCCAGGGTACACTCAATCTCCCCCAGAAAATCATCATCAGTCAGGCTGTGGCTGTCATTGTCGATGTCATACACACAAAACTTTAGCCTCTGCACCATCTCGAAATAGTAGTCGATCACAAACTTCTTAGCAAACTTTGGATTCAGGCAGTTCAGGATCATCTCTGTGCGTCCAAACTGGTTCACAAATAAAGGGGAAGAAACGCATTTGAGATCAATGTAGGTGGGCAAAAGCAAATGGCTTATTCAAATTAAGGCTTTAACTCTGATGACCATGACCTAATACAAACCTCAGACCAGTGGGAGCCTGAGGTGTTGATGTGCAAGGCACACAAAGGGTCTGACTTGGAGAAGATGTCCATGTCCATGAGGTTTTCACAGGAGATGGTCAGCTCCACCTTGGTGGCACAATGGTTGGCCGAGGGTGGCAGTGGGGCCCCACCTGAGGCCATGGCAGCTGGCTGTGCAAGGATGACAGAATAGCCACAGATATTGTCAGAAGTGAGAGGGACTAAGTATTTACTCAGGTACTGCACTGAAGTATTTTAATGTGTTGGGTTGTTTTATCAATCATTAACAGGTGTCACTCAGCATAATTGAAAATCTTAGGTCACAGGCTTTATCAACAATACAACACAATAATACAGATAAGCGTTTACTGAACACAACAGTGTATGAGCAGCCTGTATCAAAATGGCAATACATTCAACAACTGAAAATAATAGACTAATAAATACTCAAACATAAATGGAATAAATTAGCTTAGAGATAATTAGTTTTAGACATGCGAGCGGTAGTTGTGGGTGTGGCGATGCCTTGAACGCAACCAAAACGAATAAGCCTACTTATTTTATAAAGTGTCCAACAAAGTTACGCATATCATTTTTTCATTATCAATTGAACGCTTATTCAGACATATTTACCTGTTTAGCTGTTGAAAAATATGCAATTGTGCCTAACGGGTGCCTCTGGTCGTTATCTGACAAGAACAGGTGGGTAACCAGGGGGTGGAGCTGAGCTCGGTGAACGTAAACTTGTCAAACTTTTGCAAGCTACTTCGCTTTAGAGGTTTAACTCGCTATTGTTAGCAATTTTGTATGGTTTCATTCGTGCTATATTTAAATGAAATCTTTGTAGTTCCACTGTGACGTAAAAAAACAACCGTTAGCCATAATAAACAAGGTAACATTATGACGGAACTATTACGAGTTTGGGTTGTTTCTTGTCGACTACTTATATGAAGGCACACATATCTCAGGGGTGCATACATGGTGCATTCAAGAAAGACATTTTGTAACAATAAATAGCGAATCATTTAAAAGGCTGTGACTACAATTAACATGTAAGACAATGCTGTTAGATATAGGATTCTTAAGATAAAAATAATGTCCTGTGTTGATTTAATGTAATACATTTAAACTAAAAGTTAAAAAGGGTTTGTTGTGTTTTTTAAAGTTGTTACGCCTTTATAAACCATAGAGAGGAGTGCAATGTATAACATACTAAAACATATTACGTACTAAAATGTAAGATATGTAATAATTTTTAGGCAAATCAAACAATAACATATATAAATCTTAGCTAAGAGACAAATATCAACTATTATTGTCTTTTTGCAACCTTTCTGTGTGTGCTCTTGAATGCCTCGCCTGTTTGTTTTTGCGAGCCAGCCCACAGTCTATGGGCATTGATGACTACCTGACTTCTTATTATTGAAGGTTTGGGCTTTGACATGGCTGGGACTGTGCTAATCCGATGTATGAGCAGGACTTTACTATCTGCAGCTCATGGTACAAAAGGGTTCAGAACCAGAGGGACAACCCGTTTCTACTGGACAACTTTTAGAAGGACTGCCATTGCTCTGACTGTAATTAACTTTGCCTTTTTAATATACTAATCATACGTATCATTAAATATGCATGAAACTGCTAGAATCGCTCACTTTCAGATGCCTTTATACACGAATTTATGGTTTGGAAGACCACAGTTGCATTGTTAAAGGGGTTTTTTCTATGCTTGTTTGTTATGTGGGTTAAAGGGCAGTAGGGCTTTACAGTGCAGTGGGAGAGTTGCTTATTCATACTGCAGCTTTGTATTAGGATATGTCATCGCTGTTAATGTGCAACAGGTTGGGTTAGATGAAAAGGAAGGCTGTGAAATTAAAACCTACTGTAATTCAATTTTTAAGCAGTAATTCAAACTCTACAACGAATGTGGATAAGTGTCTAGCTGCTCTGAAAGTGTCAGGTTACCTTAGGTCAGCTGATACTGAGCATTGTAAACATTAGCCATTGGGCCGAAATCACCTTGAACCCCTTCTATGGTTAATTTGTATGCCTTTTTTTTAAATATCTTTCCTGTTTACAGAGTGGAAGAGCTGCATTCCTAGTGGGGCTTCCTACACTATCCTGTCTGGGATATGAGGCTTATCACAGAGTGCAGAGTTCAGCAGTGGTCCACGCTTTAGAAAAAGGTAGTTGGTGTACTGTGAAAGATGTGAGATATCATTGAAATACAGATGTAGTAATGGATTCCTGAATTCTCTGTTGTGTTTTGTGCAGAGGAGGTTTTGGAGCAGGCTGACTACCTGTACAGCTGTGCAGAGACAGAGAAGCTGTACCAGCTGCTGCTGCAGTACAAGGACAGGTAGGCGATGCCCCACTAAATGTTTTTTTATTATACATTATCCTGAAGATTATTTTCTGTATTGTCTGTAAAACGTCAGAAACTGGTAAAAAAAAAAAAAGCCATGCATTGCCATGCTAAGTGATGTTTTTTAAATGTCATCAGGTCAATCAAAAATACCCAAAGATATTCACTTTATAGTATAAAGTAGATATCTCACTTTTATATTTTCTCTATTTCTCGCTTTGTTCTTGGCAGAAGTTATTGGAATGCCCCCCTACCTTCACTAAAGTTAAATATTTGTGCACATTATGAGTTTACCTTTTGAATTTGCATCATTGCCTCGCCCTTATTCCACCTACTTAGCACTGTTTACTTTTGCTGTTCTTTTTCTTTTTCTTCTTTACTTGCTTGTAAAGCGCTTTGAGCACCAGGAAAAGCGCTATATAAATGTAATGTACGGTGGCCCTGAAGTGCAAGACACCACAGCATTTCAGAAAACACTACAGCATTTCACAAAACACCACAGCATTTCACAAAACGCTACAGCATTTCACAAAACACTACAGCATTTCACAAAACACTACAGCATTCCACAAAACGCCACAGCATTTCACAAAACACCACAGCATTTCACAAAACACCACAGCATTTCACAAAACGCTACAGCATTTCACAAAACACCACAGCATTTCACAAAACACAACAGTATTTCAGAAAACACCACAGCATTTCAGAAAACACCACAGCATTTCACATTGGACGGAAAGGGTATTCCTTTAGGGAGAACACTTCTTGTTTGTGATTGGACAGAGCCAGCCAGAGAAGCACTGCTTTGATTGGTTGTTTTTGCTGCCAGTCAAGAAATGACGCTTCGTGATTGGTCAACACCCGACAGCGAAATATGTCCCAACACATCAGCCGTTAGCACACACTCAGAGCTCACAGCTCCTCATATCTGTTCAGATACTGGACACAAGTTAAACATGTACAAACCACAGACTGTCTATGTCATGGCGAATACAGTCGCTGCTTTATTTATGTATGTATGACGTTGTTGTGAGTGTGGACGGAGCAGCAACAGGTTAGTTTAGCCTGATGGATCCGATTCCATTCAGAAAACACGCATTTTAAAAGCTTTTCGCCTGCCGTCTTATCTGCAGACTTGTCAAAGCGTTAATTCATGTTTTTTACTAACCGTTATCAGTATGTAGTTACTTCGGCACCACTTTGAAACGTGTATTACAATTAAATCACGGTCAAATATGTTCATTTTGTTGTAGTTGGTATCTCCCATAGCATTTACATGGAGATACGCCAGCGCCTCTTGTTTGAATGACAGGAGCAAACACAGCTGACAGCCGCGGTGAAACTCGAGCGATTAGAGCGATGCGAATATTGGGTGGTCTACCATAGTATTTACGTGGAGATAAGCCCCTTAAAAACCATGAATTAATAAAGCATTAATTCTGTGTTTACTCCTGTCATTCAAACAAGACGCTGGAGATGGGACGGGGCGTATCTCCATGTAAATCCTATCGGAATCGGATCGATCAGGCTAAACTAACCTGTAGCTGCTCCGTCCACACTCACAACAACGTCATACATACAGACATAAATAAAGCAGCGACTGTATTCGCCATGACATAGACAGTCTGTGTTTTGTATATGTTTAACTTTTGTCCAGTTTCTGAACAGATATGAGGAGCTGTGAGCTCTGAGTGTGTGCTAACAGCTGATGTGTTGGGCGTCATTTCTTGACTGGCAGCAAAAACAACCAATCACAGCAGTGCTTCTATGGCTGGCTCTGTCCATTCACAAACAAGAAGTGTTCTCCCTAAGGAATACCCTTTCCGTCCAATGTGAAATGATGTGGTGTTTTTCTGAAATGCTGTTGAGTTTTGTGAAATGCTGTAGCGTTTTGTGAAATGCTGTGGCGTTTTGTGAAATGCTGTGGCGTTTTCTGAGATGCTGTGGCGTTTTGTGAAATGGTGCGGCGTTTTCTGAAATGCTGTGGCGTTTTGTGAAATGCTGTGGCGTTTTGTGAAATGGTGCGGCGTTTTCTGAAATGCTGTGGCGTTTTGTGAAATGCTGTTGTGTTTTGTGAAATGCTGCGGCGTTTTCTGAAATGCTGTAGTGTTTTGTGAAATGCTGTGGTGTCTTGCACTTCAGGGCCACCGTAGTAATGTATTATTATTATTATTATTGCAGCGATGAAGCAGAGTTCCTGTGGAGGCTGGCCCGGGTGTCCCGGGACATGGCGTTCCTGCCCGACATGGAGGACAAACAGAAGAAGGAGCTGATGTTTGAAGGCTTCGAATATGTGAAGAAGGCACTCGAGAAGGATGATAAGTGTTCAGCCGCACACAAAGTAAGACGACGGTTCTACTGAAAAAACACTACTGATTCGGAGAAAAATACGTTTGTTCCCACACACGACAAAAAACGAACATGCAGGAGGTTGCCATTATGATAAAGGATCAATGGGGGATTTTGTTAACCAAACCATCCTCCTTTTCTCACACAGTGGTACGCAATATGTCTCAGTGATGTTGGGGATTACTTGGGAGTCAAGGGGAAAATTGGAAATGCTTACATCATCAGGGATCATCTAGAGGTGAGAGCACATTTGGGTTGTTATACATTATCATAGTCGTATTTACTGTATTCTGGAGTGAAACAGGTTCCTGTCTTTTTTTCTAGACAGCCATCGAGCTCAATCCCAAAGATGCCACTTCCTTGCATATTTTGGGTTACTGGTCAGTCATTTTTTTAATTGTATTTTGTATTATTTGTTACATAAAATATGGTGAGTTTACATTTGCACTTATTGCCTTTTCATTCTGCTGTTCTCTGCTACTTGCCAAGAAAAAGATAAGTTGTTGGTATCAGAGGACAGTAGAGGGTAGTATCCCAAAGAATGCCAAGATCACATAAACTGTGTTTGCATAAGACTTAAAGATGCAAATTTATACGGTATACTTTTTGGGAGGAGAAACATTATTTTTAAGTCACAAAGGCAGTGAAATCTGTATGTTTTCTGTCTAATAGGTGCTTTACTTTTGCCGAGCTGCCTTGGTATCAACGCAAGGTGGCAGCTGTCATTTTTTCATCCCCACCTGTGTCCACATATGAAGAGGTGAGTACTGCACTTGTTATACCGCTCTTCATCTGTATTGTGACTAACTGCGCAAGTGACAAGGTACATGCCATGTTTTTCTGCTCCTTTCAGGCTTTGCAATTCTTCCAGAAAGCAGAAGAAGGTAAAACAAAGGACATGAATAAAGTCACTGAAGCATTTAATGAAAAACTGAAGCTGTATATTAACATTTTTGTGTGTTTTTATCTTTTCAGTTGATCCAAACTTCTACAGTAAAAACCTGCTAATGCTTGGGAAGACGTACTTGAGCATGAAGGAGAAAGAGAAAGGGCTTCTCTTTCTAACCAGAGCTAAAGAGTACCCTGCTCACACACTGGAAGACAAAGAGGTACACATACTGAGGACTAGCTTTGGATTGACTGTCTTTTAATAACTAATCGACCAAGATGTTATGTAAACTCAGATTATTCTCCAGGCAGAAACTGTGCGTGCTTGTGTGAACATACTCAGATCAGTGTATTTGTTCTTTTGCAGGTGCATAAAGAGGCGGTAGAGCTCTTGAAGAAACTAGTATGAAGCCGGTATTACCTTCGAGTGGAATGATGCCTTTGGGGACTTTTGGACTGTTAATTATTGCTACCTGCTTTTTCTTATTCAGATTTAGTGATTATTAATACAGCATTTGGCCTTTCCATTGAGACTTTAGTTAAATCTGAATTTCAACATTGTCTCTGTGTATTTTTTCATGCCTGAATTCCTTGAATTAAACTTGACTTTTGTTATGGAAATCTTAGACCTAGTCAATACTGTGGAGATATACAATTAGAATGATCAATCAATAAACTGGTGAAACAAACAGTTGTCTTTCTGGTTCTTTATTCGAGGCGCCTCGAAGGCACAGGTCTCACAGAGTATAGGATAGTCTGCAGGAGTGTGCGCAATAGTCACAGAATAGCAAAGCTTATATACAAGATAGGGCGGGCAGACAGAGTTTTGTGTAGCATGGCGGAAATCTGCTTTCACACGGATGTCTCATATTGTTATTAGACACCTGTGTCCTTGAGCTGTAGAAAGTATAACAGTTATTAGCATATGGAAGTTCAAACTTTGTGTGAAGAGGAGTAGTCTCACCAGTCTGCCAAATCAGCTCTGTGGCCTTGAAGCGCTTGAGAATAATAACCCTCATTAGAGTATGCAGAGAAAACAGCATATATCAGGAAATGGTACAGTAGTGTTAGACAATGCTTTTAGAAGCATTTGGTTTTACCATATAAGATAACATAAGAAATTGCCACTACACTTTTCAGTGAGAACATGCCATTTGCCAGTGTTATGCCTATAGAGTGCAGGTTTACTTCGGTGGTAGTAACACACTTCCAAATAAATTAAAACAATGAATAAACTGGCTTGTCTTCATTTTTTTATTTAAGTAAATAGTTGGAACAATAAATTATATCAGAATTACTGGTCTTAACATTTGTATGTCTCTGCAAACCACTCAAGATGCATCCACGTCTGTCCAAAATGTGATCACTTCATCCTATTAAACATGACATTTTCATAATTAGCAGAAGGAAGATATGACCAAAATCGTAACTTTGGACCACAACATTCCAAGTGGATGTGTGTGCCATATTTTAAGGAATTCCGTCTTTGTATTGCTGAGATCTTGTTGACAATTGAACAAAAAATATAACCAGCTTTAAAGATAATCAGATACATTATTTATTATGGTTCTTTCGACAGGCAAGATCCAATCAAAGCAAAGGATAAACCAAGAGCACATTCATTGATTTTTCCTTAAGAACAGAAAAAAAGAAAGGTTGTGAATCCTGAGCAGAAGGTCTCTCGTCCCCCGATAATCACACATGGAAAAAAGAAAAAGGCATGGTCATGGAGGGGGTTTATTTACTTATTTATTTGTATCTCATAAATCCATCTCTCCATTAAAATGGGTTGAAAGCAGATTAAAAATGATTCTTCTATACACATGGTCTCCAGTAAAGGGGCATTCTGTACAGTGTAGTTGGTGTTTACAGTGTGTATCTACACGCGATATGTTACAGGTTGGATGCGTTTCAGGTGGCCTACGCTGCAGTCGGCACAGAAACAAGATCCCTGCTGCATGATCACATACTGACTGATGTTCAGGAACATGACTCAACGTTTCTCTCCATGTGAAACTTCCTCTAACTGGCTGCAGTGAAGGCAACCTGAAACGTCCCATCTATTTCTGATAGAAACAAAAAGGCATCACAGATTTCCATCAATGGAGCGGCGGCTCTGTGTAAATAATTATAATATTTAAGTACTTTATTTACTTTCATTATCTTTATACAATGAATATTCACATACACAGTTGATTTTCTTTGATTACATGTTTCTGTTCAAATTAAGGAAGCACAAAGTTCTGCAGTTTTAACTTCTCTTAAGCCGGCTCCTTTTGCTACAGTAAATGTTTTCTTCATACTGTCGTCCCTCTTTTCAGCAGGGACAGCTGAACGTGTTTTATACATGACTGATAGCTCCTCCTAGAAGACAAGTCAGCTTGCAGTGGCCTGACAACATAACGCCAGAGAAGAGAAGGAAAATGGCATGCCGCTGCCATAGCTGCATTTAGACCACTGACTGAAAGAATGAGCACCAGAGTTTAGAAACAATGGATGGTTAGGCGATGAAAGCAAACGACATGTCCCCTGAAGAGTTAACGGAGATCAAGGACAAAGGGGAGAGTGGGGGTGCAAACAATTAAAACACAGAAGTCTCATCACTCTCCAAACAGGCTTGAGGCTGCTGAGGAGTTGCGTTATTTGGTCTGTGGCACTTTAGTGTCTTGTTAATCATTATTTGTATGTTAAAGGCTATTTTCCAGCAACCTAAGGGATGAACACACATCTGTTTTAAACTAAAGCTAGCTCACCTCAGGAGGAATGAGACTGAACACGGGCTGGATCAATTAAATGGTACGATCCAGAAAGTAGGCTCAGCATGGCTTCAAAGTTATTTTGTCTCCATTACACAGACTTCATTGGACAGTATTGTTACATTCTAACAATCACATACAGGTTTATGACCCAGTCACTACTTCCAGAAGCCCATCAGTTCCCATCAGTTGTGTTTACTGCCTATTTTCATTTTACCTGGCCAGTTTACACTCAGTTTGCGCTCACTGCATGCACCATTTTTTGTTGCTTTTAAGTCATTTAAGACATGACTTAAGAAAGGTTTTTTAAGTCCATAACCTCCTTTATGACCTGAAAATCATTTCCATGTAACTTTGACATTTTTGATGCCATATTAGCTTCAGTTGAGTAATAATGAGAACAGTGTCTTCAAGTTCGTGCACAGATTCATTTGAAGGAGATGCTCTTTAGACCTAATGACAACACAAGATGGCTAAATATCGTATGCTGTGTTTGGTTTCTGATTAACATTTTTCATTTAATTATAATATATTTTACTATTATAATACCTATAACACATGGGCTTAAGTACATTTGATCAAATAAGGATGCCATTGGCTGTCTTATGGCATCTTAGTGGCTTCATAGGCATTAGATCATCAGCCAAGCACACAGGACCCATTGAGCCAGAGTCGTTTTTTTACTTTTTTGTGGAATTGTTTTTGTTGAAACAACTTAATCTTTAAATAAAAACGGAGAGTGTGTAGACTGACTTGCTAACTGAGTCCTTGGCTCACTCTTTTAGTAGCCTTTCTCTGCTAAATGAATGAACTCACATCTTTATCCAAGGACAGATGATGGTGCTTCTTACTAAGTGAGTGAGAGGCTTTCTCTCTGCAGTAAATCCCCAAACACTTTTGATGAGAAAGGAAAGAGGGGCTCATTAAGCAACAAAGCGTCCATGCTGAAATGTCTGTGTGTGTTCAGTGGGTCTCAGCAGTCTTCTTTTCTTCACAGGCAGTCATGCAAGCACGCAAAAAAAAAAATGACTATGATTCAACAGGGGGGGAATAAATTCAGGCACCAGACCCCAATACTACTCTCGCCAGTTAGAAGCTCTATAGAACTAGAGCTTTAAAAGAAGATCGCGCTTCAACTATAAAATCCTCTCCAAAACACTTTTTAGTCTCTTTTGAAAAGCTGCAGTGGGGAGAAAAAGAAAAAAAGTATCCAAGAATTCTGTTTGTAAACAGAGGAGCAGAAATGCTTGCATATTTCATGATGGGGTTTCATATAATATCTAAAGGGATAGGAGGGAACAGGATTGCGGCAAAAACGATGCTGCAAATTAAGATTTGGTTTAAAATGACAAAATAGCTTATATACATTGGTGGTTATCTTGTGCAATTCTTTTTTTGTTTTTGTTTTACTTGGCTGAATAAACAGCGATGGGGGAGGGAGGGAAATGGGAGAGGACTCCTCTCTCTATTCTTGGCCAAATCCTTCGGTTTCCTCGATGGCAAAGAGCAGCTTCTCTTTCAGCTGCTCGAAGCTCTTATAGGGAGGCAAGTCCAGGCGGTTGAAACTGAGACAAAAGGGGAAGATGAAAGATCAGCACAAAAAGGTATGGAGTCTTAGTTATTCAATGAATTGGTTCCTTTTCTTTCCCTCGCATTGATTACATATTAACCAAAGGATATTGAAAGCTTTTATAGTAAATCGCAGGTTGGCTTTCATTTACTTTCCTGACGTACTCATTGACCAAATGGCAGTGACTGGAATATTTCTGTGAAGCTAATGGAGGTGTTAAATATCAGTCCAGTCAGAGCATATCACAGCAAATCCCTGTGAATAGTCATTTACTGAAATCACATGTAGGCAAAACTCTGGTCCCCGATTTTACAGACTGTACAAAACAAATCTTAGTTTGGTTAAGATCCTCGGATAAAAGGATCAATTTAATATACTTGAGAAATGAGAGTAGTTATTATTTCCTCTAATAACTAAAATCACATTGTTATTGTGAAATCATTCAAACTAATTGCGATATTTTCCAAATGGCTCATCCCTTATCAGCGGTAGAGCTTTCTACTCACCATGTGTGGCTCCGAGGAAGCCACGTGTCCTTCCCCACCTTCTCAATGCAGAACTTCTGCGGCCCGTTACTTCCTGCGATGCAAAATAAGATGAGGAATGAGGACATTTAAAACACAAGATAGAAAAGTGCGTAGTTTGCATGCGCAACTCTTGTTGTGTGAATAATTGTGTGGCTCTGCGTGTCACTGACCCATGAGTTCAGCGAAGCCGCCCAGAGGGAGTCTGCAGGTACCAGTAACAAACTGCATGAGCCGCAGCCGCACTTCGTTTTCCACTTCTTTCACCAGCTGCAGGAGGAAGTGACAACACACACACTCATCAGGGTCCACACACTACTGACCAGACAAGCTGTCAACCATCAGATGGCCTGAAACATTTCTAATAAACGGTAATGAATAAAATGGTATTGGAATGAACGTTCAATTCACAGGATCTGGTAGACATTTGTGCAGTCAGCATGCTTATGGCACATTCACTTCAAAAGCTGGAGAGTGGCATTTAACTGAGACAAGGCTGGAGGCACACATGTAATCATCATGCCATTAATTCAGCATCTTGATATGCCAAACCTGTCCATTGCTACGCTGATTTTACCACAATTGTGCCTGAAATCTGAAATCCTTTCAACAAATGGGGAATGGGATCGTAAACGAGAGTTGGGTTTATACTTGTACCCAGTTTTGAAACGAGGTCTGAGTTAGTTTGACCGTACCTGCCAGAACCAGATGATCTGTTTGCTGTTCCGTGTGTAGTGACGGTACACTGTGTTTCTCTGCCAGTCCTGAAGGTCTACCTCCTGCATGCCGCACAGCATCACCTGGACCAAACACACACATCAAAGTCAATCAACGAACCGTGAAACACAAAGTATTTTAAGTAATGATGATTGGGTTCAAAGCTCTGCGGAGTTGGGCAGATTATTGGCATTAAAACAAAAAGGCACAACGTGGTCATCGGCCTCAAATACAGCTCGTCGTTGCACTACCAGCATCAGGATCTGCTGCTCACCTCAAGTTCCTTTTCGTCGAAGTACTGGAGCCACTGAAGTGGAACCACCTCGTTGAAGCCGTCCAGAAAAGCTTTGGTCTGACCTTCAACCCCGCGGGAGAACCTCCACTCTGCCATAAGGCTGCAAAAATATACTTTGTTAGTTTAAAATGTACTCGAAATGATGTGATGAGGGCAGATATAGTTGGCACTTTGATAAAACAGCTGTTAAACTGACCCGATGTACTCCTCCTTGTTCTCCTCGGTGACTAGAACATTGGTGCCGTCGGGTTTGAGGTCATGAGAAGTGATCTTCCCCAGGATCTCCATGTCCACTGAGAAGTACATCTCCAGACCACACTCTTCAATGTTGTTGTCCCTGAGAAGAGTAAAGTAAGAAAGGGGTGAAAACATTTACATGGAATAACAGTGTCTCATTCTTTATATATTTATAAACAACCATGATCTTTGAAGGCTAGTTTGTCCTCCTCTAGAGGTCAATCAAAGTATTTAAAGTGTATCCGTCTAAAAATTAAAAAATGTACCAAACTCAGAGAAAGTTGAAATAATAAATCTTATTTTTGCAGTTTTAGAAAAGTGACACTTGTCTTTTGTTCTTTATTAGGAGTTGTTTTTTGTATGACTCAATGTTGTTGTTTAACAGCGGTGTCTTTATATTAACAAAGTGACATTAAAAGGTTTTTTAAAAAGTCTGAAATGTATTTGGTGATAATTATAAGTAACTCTATGAAAGTGGGAAATAATGCTAATATGTAACTTTATGGATGTTAGCAGAAATGTTTATCGTCTAAAGACATCGGAGCTAGTGAGACACAAGTGCAAAAATGCACTGCACTGACTCTTTAATCAAAGTCTTTACCAAAATGAAATGAAAAACGGACACATGTGCATCCTGAAGGCTGTGCAGAGCAAAGACACATTACCTGATCCATATGAGTGAGTTGTAGAACTCTGGGTCGATGGACTCCAGGTCTTTGAGGATAAGCTTCTTGTTCAGCATGCGTTTGTAGAAAGGCAGAGAGAAGCCTGTGTCGATGAACTTCCCGTGGAAAAGTGCCTGCAGAAAATAATTGTTTGTTTTAAAAGAGAGAACTTAATAAACTTCTTTGTTTAAACATGATGTGTTTATTTCTTATTTGAGTCAACATATTTAAAGTAAAAACTGAATTTGTCATGTTACTTAGCAGCACTATTGGCATGTGTATGTGGGACTTGCCATTGCGATGAAGCGGCCGATGAAGCAGAAGTAGGAGAGGTGGTCCGGGTTGATGGCTGAGGCCGGGTTGATCTGCAGACAGTAGTTGCTCTTGCCCGCGTACTCAAACAGACAGTACATGGGGTTCAGCACTTCATGGGACAACAAGAAGAACCACTCTCTGCAAAGTGGGACAAAAGACCGAGGCAAGGAGATTAAAGTGTATTTCGGGTAATGAAAAGATAACAAAGGAGAGAAAGAGTGGGAGACAAGAATTGAACATGATCAAGAACTACTTACATTTTGCAACAAAAACAAATGTTCTAGTTAAATCATTTTGAATTCACAATATACTTTGTTTTGTACATTACCTGGCTAAGCCTCCATAGTCAAGACCCTCCTCTCCTCTGAAGATAACGTAGAGTCTCCTCCTCAAGTCGTAAGGCTTCAGGGCCATAATCTGATAAACAGAGAAAACACACAAGAACAGGAAGTGACATAGGATTCAAGGATTCTATTGTCATTTGTGCATAGCTACAGTGAAGTTATGACAATCAAAGTCTTCGGCACAGTTGGCACCAGTTTGTCCGATAAAGCAGAAGAAAACTCTGAATGTTGGCTGTGAAGCATCACGGCACTTTATTTGCATTACTGTGTGTGCTGTTTAGCATTAGTTTTAAGCGCACAGTGGTAGAAGGATCGTCTTACTTGCTGGAAGGAGTCTTCAAACAGCGTCTGTCTGGAGACGGTGATCTTCACATGGCTCGGGAGAGCATTTGACTGAACACAGACACAGAGGGGGGAGATATGATTGACAGAGTTAAAAACACATATTCATAATATAATAAGATTGGCATTTTGTCATCTGAAAATCACTGCAAAAAACAGATTCTCTCTCAAGCCAGAACAGAGACATTCAAAAGATATAGCTCCGCCTCAAATATTACAAAACTCAAGTGTAAATGAGGGACTGAAAGATCATCACCCCAACTTTAAAGTCTCTGCAGGGTCTACTGGTCTGCTATAGAATTGGATTACTTTTTGTTATTCAGTCCTGTGTTTATTGACTTTTGTTGTTATTGAGAACCAGCGATGGCGTGATGGAGAAGGACAGAGCAAACACCTACCTGGCACAAGTAGCGAAAATGGGCAAGCTTCCACCGAAAACTGCGTTCATAAGCAATCTGAGGGCCTTTGGTGCTGAAAAGAATGAAAACATTGAAAGAGATCAAACATAAATGCATAAGCTGTTAGATGCTAGTCAATGGATCCTCCAGGGGGTCAACATCTTCAAATCAAATCAAGTTTTATTTATAAACGATTTTTGGTCGAGCCAAAGTGCTGTACATAAAATAAAAATAGCCTACAGTAGAGACACTTTACAACAACAGCACAGATTGTTCAGAATATCAGTATGACAATACGACACCCTCTGTCCTTAGACCCTCACATCGTACAAGGAAACACTTCCAGAGAAAACCCACAGTTTAAAGGGAAACATGGGAGAAACCTCAGGGAGAGCGACAGAGGAGGGATCCCTCTCCCGGGACGGACAGACGTGCAATAGATGCCGTGTGTAAATCGAAGAGATAATACATTTTACAGCATATAGACCGAATGTTAGGAAATGCATGAGTCTGTAATAAGAAGACGAATCCACGAGGATGTCAGCTACAATCCTGTGGAAGGAATCTTCCACATATAATGAAAAACAAATACATGGACGGGTGAAATATGAACTGGTATGATCTCTTGAAGTATTCCGGAGATTAAACAAATGCCCTGAACATCCCTGCGGGCAATAGAGTCTTTGAAATGAAATACCACCAGAGAAACATTTTAGATTTAATATGTATTTTCTTTTACTTATTGGAGCTATATGTAGAAAATTAAAGCAAAACATGACTCCATCTGGTCCTAGTAAAAGTGTTCTCTTTGCACAAGCTCCCATACATTCTTCAGGCGACGGACAAACACAACTTGCAGCAGCTGCTTCTGTTACATTGGAGGTAATGTGTAGCACAAAAACATGGGACAATATGTTCTTACACAGAGGACTTTCCAGTGCGGGGGTCACTGAAAGTGGTGGTTCGCGTGTTGTGATCCACAAAGTAGCGGACTCCTTCCCTTGTGTAACGGATCTCCCAACCTTCAGGAAGAGGATCCTCATTCTGTAGCCTGCACACACACACGGCCAGTTATATACAGGGACTGGCAACTGTTATACATAGAAGATATGTCATAGAACAAGCTAAATCCAAAACATTTTAATACATGTTTTTAACACATTTGAAGTGATGTGAACAGACATTAATCTGTGGGTTGTGATCTTATGTGTAACAAACTAAAGCTGCAGTCAGATTCAAACAGGCAAGCGCCATTTACATTTGTAAAAGTGACACAATGATAATATTTTGAACGTGGACAACACAATTCCACAAGGGTATAAACTCTACCTTTCTGTTTAATCTGATTAGAATAATATTAGGCCAGGCACCTTAAAGCTCCAGGGCATGCTTCTGTTAGTTATAATGCATAATATGACTTTTGTATTTACTTGTATTTCAAGTACTTTCCCACTTCACTACAGCGGCTTTGTGAAAAACAAAGTTGATTTCTTTCTCAGCTTACCCTTGTGTTCGGGGGTCCTCCCACTGCGTTGTCTTGGTGCTATGGTTGACAAAGTACACTCGGTCATTGGAGTCCACTCGCCTCTCTAAAGTTGATCAAAACAGAGTCAGGAATCTGTAGATTAAAAGGCGTAATGGACACTGTGGCCCCTCACTGCGGCGGGACATGTCAGATTATCATCAGTGCTGACAGCTGAGTGAAGGCTTGAGAGGAGAAGGAACTATTTCCCTTTTTAAGAACAGTACATACTGTACAGACACCGAGTGAAAATAAGTTCAGTATTTAGAAGAAAGAAAGTGAACTCACCCCATCCAGGAGGTAGCGGGCCGAGAGGATCATTCTCAGCAGACATCATGGATGCCTGAATGCGAGGGATGCACACAAACACATTCATTTAAAAAACAGGAGGAAGACACAAATCTGGTGAAGAAAAAAAAAAAGAGACTCCACAACAAGGAAACAAGGATCTGGGAAATGAGATACGATCCAAATGAAGTTTTGGTCCTGGGAGAAAGGCCTCTGGTTGCTGGTGTCTGTCTTATGATTTGTGTTGTAAACTAATCATCATCAGTGAAGATGACATCACTGCCGAGATCAAAGACTTAAGAGATGGACCCTATCCGAGATAACCAGATTAGGGCAGAGGAAGGGGCTGGCATACTTTCAATTCTGGCAAGGTAGAATTCTCAGGTAAAAGGAGTTGAGATTTGTATGTGAGGGGTTGCAAAATAAATGCAATAAATCGGATGGAATCTAGAATAGAACAAAAAGATATGTTTTCAAACTCAAATCGGAAACTGGGATTTGATTTCTAAGGTCATCAGGATGAAACGATTGATATTGACTTGCCAATTAGGAAAGAGAAAACATAGTTGTGAGAAAATATTTCAGATCATTTTTCTTTGATTTATATCCATATTGTAGAATCAATTTTGAATTAAGGCTATTTATTAATAAAGAATGCTTTCACTTTCGTCAAACTCACATTGTTCTAATCGCATTAGTATATGAAATACAGTTTTAAGTAGGAATAGGAACGCCTGCACTCTAATGGACAGAAGAAATCAATAACTGAATAAAAACATTCAAGACTTGAAAGTCCCAAGAGCAGTAATTATAAATTATATACACTCAGTAATTATAACATAATTTGTCATTTGTCATTAAAGATATGTAAAAGATATTCTTTGAAAAAGACATTTAAAGATATCAGAAGTGGTCTCATTCAGAGCCACAGAACTTCTTTGTTTTCTGTCTCACTGGGGAAGCACTCGGGAATGGTTGAAGACTTAAAAAGGGGAACGAGCTGATAAAAGCCAGATGGATCCAGTGTTGTCGGGTGATTCAATAATGCATGGAGTTATTTTAGTGTCAAATCTAACGGCTGGAGTTTTGCAGATACAAATTAAATGTATGTACAGTATCATGCCACGGTAAAACTTTAAAGGAAAAGTAACAATGATGAATTAATTAATTTCACAGTTGTAAACTTCTAAGAAAAGAAGGGGTTAAGGCAGGGGTCTCAAACTCAAGGCCCAGGGGCCAAATCCGGCCCGCGACTTCATTTTATGTGGCCCCGCAAGAGCTTGCAAAGAATATAATACGGTTACATGCCGCTTTACAGAAGCAGGTTGCCCATAAACTACATGTCCCACAATTAGGGGTGTAACGGTTCACAGAAGTCACGGTTCGGTTCATACCTCGGTTTGGGGGTCACGGTTCGGTACGGGTTCGGTACAACAAGGAAAAGCAAAAAAAGTTCCAAATGCATAATTTTTTTGCTGTTATTTATTTTTAACAGTAGTGCAAGTTTAGAACTCTAACATTTGAAATCATTAACTGTATTACACAGTTAAAAACAAACCACAAACAGTTAGGGCCGCCCCTCCCTACAGGCCAATCACGCAGGCTGCATGGGGCCCCGCCCAGAGGGCCTCAGCTGCTGTGCGCAGTTCTCCGCTCAGTTCTCTGCTCAGTTCTCCGCTCACCCCCCACGAGAGTGAGAGTGAGAGGTGACAAGGGGAGCACGTCTGTAACCCGACACCGTTGCAATGAATCAACATCTGACCAATCACGGCTTTGATACGGCCACTAGTGCAGGTGAAGAGATGTCGGTGAAAAGACAGTTTCAGTCCGGCGCAAGCAAGAGGGAAAAAAAAAAAAAACATGAAGAAACTAGAGCATCACTCAAAGGTGGGTTATTGTATGAGTCAAATGTACAACTTGCGAATGTTGTATAAGTCAAATTGCCATATTAAAACATCAGCTGCAATTCACGACATGAAGAAGGCAGTCTAGCATATAGGCTAATGGAGATGCAGTTATTTCCAGCATTCTTTATTTAGCATTCATTCAAGTATGTTATGCCTCTTATCTGCTAATGTACAGGAGGAAGAGTGATACACTGTCTGTCTAGTTGGCTTACATAACAGTTAAAGTTTACAGCCTAAAAAACGTGGAGCATTTTTTCCCCTTTTATTCATTTTTATGTCAATTTGCACATTTCATGGTGATGCTCAGCCCCTCCTCTCAGTCATCATCATGTCAACCACAACACAGAGAAATACTGATAGAAATGTGTGTGTAGTTGTTGGTACATTGCTGACAGAGGGAACTACGTTTGAATATAGATTTAAGAAATATCAGTTTTTGAGCATGTCATAAGCATGTTTTGTCTTGACTATATTACAAATATATTATAATAAAACAATATAGTATTTATATTATTGAAATGATTATGATTATTATTATTAGTAGAAGTCGTTTATTTGCATTAATTATATTGTAATCTTTTTGAGGCTAGCAGGGCTCGAGCTTAAGGACGTCCCGTCGTCCCGGGGCCGGAAAAAAATAGTGTCGGGGAGGATAAAAAATAATTTTGGGACGAATTTGGGACGAGAGTTCAAATAAAAATACCCTGCTAACTCTACTACAAACGGTGATGGAAATGAAACCGACTGCACGTTTTGTGTAGTACAGTTATTAAACCTCCTTGTCAACATAAACACACACGCACAAAACATTTAGAAACCTGCGAAATACACACACATGTAGCTACAGCTGTGCCGCTGGCTGTCAGCCAGCCGCCCAGCTGGCTGTGCCCTCGAATTACTGGCGGGTCTAGCTATGTACTGAGTGTGTGTATTTTGCGGGTTGAGTGATGTACAATGGCAACCCGTGGAGGAATTATGAAATGTTTTACCATTACATCACAAAAACGCACAGCAGAACCAGACCCTGGAGCGCCGGCCTCTTTATTTACTTACTCCTCTTCATCCCCTATGGGTAATAAGGCTGAGATGAGAACTCTCCATCGTATTTAGTCCTTAGCAATATGCTGCGCCTCTTCCCATGTAGGGATGGGTACCGAGCCCCGGTATTAAACGGGCCCCGGGCCGGAATTATTAAAGACAGTGGTAACGTTAAGCTCCGACGTTATCGGACTTTTTATCGGTACTGGAGACATTTAAAAAATATACGTCATATGTATTATTGCTACATACACATTATATCGCAGTTTTAGTTTCACAATAAGACTACAACATGCGTCTATGACAGGGGTGCCCAACCTTTTTTTAACCGAGAGCTACTTTTAAAGTTGCCAGTCTGCCGAGATCTACCAGGCCGAATAGAGACGTAGCCATTACTGACAGCCTACTACCAGGTAAATACACACTTCTACTTGTATAAAACTGACCTTCGTACGATTAATACTTCATAAAATAATGCCTTTATCTTACCTCTTTCTAATCTACACACATACAAGTATTTAACTGAAGTTACACAACAGTGTTGTTGATACAGAGTTGGAGTTTATTCACACGTCACATACTACAGTGGGTAATGTTTTCAAGAAACATTGAAGTGCTGCCACATATGACACAGGAAAAAAAGAAAAGACTCTGAACCCTTTCTTTGCCATTATATAAAAATAGTGTTGCTACAAAAGTATAAATGAGGCTTACTAATAAGACAACTCAGATCTGAGGCTACACAGGAATCTGCTGCAACAGTGCAATAAAAAAGACAAAATTAATAGAATCAAACCCTTTTTTTGTTGCATTTTAGTAGATTATAAAAAGAAATGCCTTTAAAAAATAGGATGCAAGCAACACTAGTTTCTTAACCTGAATTGATAATGGACTATAATCAATTTAAGTTTGCATTCTTATACCATTTTGTACAATAATTATAATGAATAAGTTCAAACAAACTAAAACTTACAGCTGATTAATAACGGTATCCAACTTGAGTTTTTATTATATCAAAAACCTGTTTTTTACTGTCCCCCAAAAGCGCGTCGGCAGCCTCCAGGAATGCTTCTTTCACAACTTCGCAGTCTTTGAAAGACTTCATGTGTTTCTCAAGAACGTGACTGCCACGATAAGATGCTATGGTAGCAGCCTTGCTCTTGTTGTTGGGCCTGGTGGAAATGGACTGCTGTGCATTTAGCTGTCCTTTCAGGCCCCTCCCCTTTTGGAGCGTAGGGCAGAATTAGGAGGGAATTCCGTCTCGTAGCGTTTGTGCACTGTTTTGAAATGCCGCTCCTAAATTACTCTTCTTCGATAAAGCCACGCTCGCATTGCAGATGAGACAGATGGACTTTGAATTGGAATAAATACAAAAATAATCATCCTCCCACTCGGAGTGAAGATTATATATGTTTTGCTTCTGCCATAATTGCGGTCTTGTTTGTGTGCGGACTGTCACTCCTGTTGATACAGACAACGTTAGCGAATTAGTGCACTGCCCACTAGCCACGCCCCGACACATGGGGTCACGGCGGCCAATCACAAAGCTTTGATGCGTTCAAGTGCATTATTCTGGCACAGGAAGATTATGTTACAGGACATTAACGATAAAACTGAATATTGTTGTTCTATTTTTAGACACATCTCGCGATCGACTGGGAATCTCCCCGCGATCGACCGGTCGATCGCGATCGACTGGTTGGGCACCCCTGGTCTATGATGTATTTTCGAGCTTTCCAATCCAGACGAGATCTCTCTCTCCCGTCTGTGTGCGAGGGGGCGGGGCCGTTTGTAAAGGTCTCCTGACTGTGTTACAGACTGTCATCCTGGTTAGTGGTTACTCTGGGTTCTGTCTTCAGGACAGAGTGTTGGATTGTTTTGTTAATTGGATGGGACTTGATCCTCTCTGAAGAACCAGCACCTTACCGTGGTAGAGAGGTTTGTGTGCCCTGATGAACCTGGGGGCTGTGTTGTCTGGAACCTTGTGTTCCTGGTAGGGTTTCCCATGGCAAATTGGTCTCAGGCAAGGGGCCAGACTAAGATTGGTTCAAAAGACCTCATGAAAGACGATACAAGAAGTGAGGATACCCGGCCCGGAGGAAGCCCGGGG